AAACAGCAAGTACATTCAAATATAAACAGAGCAAGCTAAGTAACAAGATCCTAAACTCAAGTAAATAGATGGTAACAATTGTTGTAGTGTAATATATAATATATACAAATGTGAATATACTTCTACAGATCTACAGGCGAGATTGAAAGAAAAGAAAAAAGGATATAATATTCAGTTTCTATATTTATTGTTATTTATTAAATTGTTAAGAAAGCAATAGGGGTAGATTGTGAATCGGACCATACTCTGATGAAGGCTTGTTCAAATGGCCCTAAATGTGGACTTCTGGTACAAGGAGAAGCAATGAAGCTTTCAAAGTTAGTACTGATGTGCGGCAGTAAGATGGAATCTAGCCCTTATTCTTCAACTTAACACTGGAGAAGTTGATAGGATCGTGAGGATGAAATAGAAGGATGCACGTCGGAATACATCATAAAATGCTATTATATGCAGATGATATAGCTGTCCTCTGATGCCATCAAGAAGGCACAGAGAGATTAGCTAAATGTCTGATAAGAGCAACTAGATCCACAAATAAATTAATGTAAAACAAGGTACATTATAGAAAGCCGAAAAATTCATCCTAACTACAGAATTTGCGTTTAAAGGAATCTTTTTCTCAAATGTAGACAGATACCTCGAATCCACGTCAATTTCAATAAATGACAAACGCTTAGAAATAGACCAGCTTATAACGCAAGCTCATTCAAAGGTACTAAAATCCCGAAAAATCTAGAATTCTCAAACTAAAGGTGTTCGATAATATGAGTCAGTTCTGATGTACGGCTACGAGGTTTGAACACCAGCCAGCACTCCAAAAAGAAATATCGACAGATTTAATAGGAAAACCCTCCGCATGATAACCGGGAAAAGATGGGCAATATGCAAGGGAAAAGATGGGTTCACGCGGCTAAATACCTTCAAGATCTCTAAAGTCATCAGGGGAAAAATGTTTATTTAAACATGGCTTTAAAAATGTATTCTCCTCTTAAACATCACTAGGGTCATATGTGTCCGATCATTGCCGTTTAACATCATCAATCAATCAATTTGGAATACATTTTTATCCCTCATTAGTCTGCAATAAAAAAATATTAAATAAAAAATATGAATACCCATACACTTTAGTCACTTTATCCATACGGATTTTTTAAAAGGATGAAAGTTTTACTTATAAATAAATTCATTTAAGTAATAAAATATGTAAAAATAAAATAATAAAAATAAACCACTGGTTGATAATAAATAAAATCTTCTTTCAAAAGTATTTGCCCAAATATATATTTTAAATATTTTGTAAAAAGACACCAGAATACCCATCCTCTTACCGTCCTATCTCTCTTTTACCCATCATGGGCAAAATCCTGGAGAAGCTCATCTTAAAACGCCTGTATCCCATCCTAGATTCTAACCACATAATCCCTGATCACCAATTTGGATTCCGCACATCCCATTCCACTATCCAGCAATGTCATCGTGTGGTAAATGTTGTCTCCTCTGCATTGGAGAGCGGAATGTATTGCACTGGAGTTTTTCTAGAAGTCGAGCAGGCGTTTGATCGAGTCTGGCATCCGGGATTGCTTTACAAACTCCGTAAAGACTTTCCCCCTACATATTTTCTTATCATGAGTTCCTATCTTACTGATAGACACTTCAAAGTAAATAATATACCTATTTATCCCTCTTTTCTCAATCTGCAGGAGCTCCTCAAGGTAGTATCCTTGATCCTATCCTTTACACAGTTTATACAGCTGATATCCCAACCCATCCTAACACTGTTATCACCACCTATGCCGATGACACGTGCATCCTATCAGTTAATAACGATCCATCAATTGCATCCCAAACTCTTCAATCACACATAACAAACCTTGAAGAATGGTGTCAAAACTGGAGGATTAAAATAAATTCCAATAAATCCCATCAAATCACCTTTACCCTTCGTCATAAACCAATGACTTAATGTCCTATAGTATCCTTTAATAACACCCCACTTATCCCTGTACAACAAATCCGATACCTAGAACTCCAGCTGGACAAACGTCACAATTGGAATCCTCATATAAGACTGAAACGACAAGACTGCTCAACGTTTCCGCTTACTCCAACACTTACTGGACAAACGCTCTAAACTTCCAATCAATTACAAACGATTCATATACATGACTATAATAAGACCTATTTGGACTTATGGAGTTGAGCTATGGGGCTCCACTAAACCATAAAATTCCTCTCGTATCCAATCTTTACAATCCAAAATCCTTCGTAAAATCCTCAATGCTCCTTACTTTGTCACAAATAAAATAATCCATAAAGACCTCAATGTTCTATATGTTTCCGATTTGGCCAAATCCAGATATCTATCCTTCCATAATAAACTTCATAACCATCCGAATCCTCTTGTTTCTAACCTTGCTTCCTCTTCGATTCCTGATAACCCTCCAAGGCGTCTGAAAAGAATATGGCCTCGTGATCTCCTCATGTATACCAATTATTACAGTGCTACCAATGGGTAGTTTCTCAACAAATGTGTTGTGTGATTATATTCTTCTGTACACATTTACTTGATGTATTCATACTAATACAGTTAAATAATTAGTTGTAAATATCATAATAAAAGTTTTAAAAAAATATATTTTGTATGGAGTTCGTCAACATTTATTACTGCTTATAATATTCGAGACATTGAACTAACAACGCTTTTTAATGTATTTTGATCAATTTGTTCTCATTCAATAAGCATAATTTCTTGTAATTGATCCTTACCAGAAATTTATGTTTCCTAACTTTCAAATCTGTATGATACCATCATGTTCCTAAGTCTGGAGACTGAGGCGGAGTTGCTACCTGTCAAGGGTGGATTGTATAAAAGTCATTCTCTTGTTTCATGGGCAGTGTGTTTGTGATCGTTAGCCTAATGGATAACGATAATTATGTATAATCCCTATTTTTCATCATTGCTAACTAAATTATGCCGCAAAATATTTACATACTTCTCAGCTGTAATTAAATCATAAATGATAACAAGGTTTTCCACACCATTGTAATATTAAGAGACAGATCCAGTGTACCGTTTGTACTAGGATCCTCGTATTTGTACTAGATTATAACGTAATGTACGAAGTACAGGACCGACCAGCCTCGTACCAGCGACGTACATAATTTTTGCTGACGTACGCAAAATTATATTTTTATCGATGAAGTTTAGATTTGTTTTACAATTATTTTTACTATATTATTATTTATATTGAGATTTTTATCGAGTATAAAATAAAATATAGGAAAGTATATTCATTATTTCCTTCATAAAACTACAATTTTACATAATTCATTTAAATAGTTCTAAGTAAGCAAAATAAGAATAAAAATTTAATAATAAAAAATTAATATTTATTAATTTCAATTATATGGCATAATAGATGAAGTCACAATAATATGTTTTATATTTAATTTTAACAATGATCGGAATAATATTTCATTTAAAAAGTTAAAAGTTTAAAAAGTTAAAATTAAAAAAAAAGTCTAATTAGAAATATATGTTCACATTTTTATAGGTCTTTAGTAATTAATTTTATATTGATTAACTTACTATGCACATTTATTTTATTTTTTGATATTTAAGACAGGCATAATAAGCAACAAGGATGGACACAGTTGAAAAAGCAGACTAAGGTGTGAATTGAGAGAAATATCTATTTTTTTTTTTTTTTCAAACTGACACATCTTATACTACTTTATAGAAAAAATAATTTGTGTTGAAATAAAATAGTAGGTAGCGACAACATTTAATGTACTAACTATCCTACTAGTAAATTAGTATAATAAATAAATCTAGATCCACCAAATAATTAGGATTATTAAATATTCTCAGCAGAGGACTCCAACCCACACTTTTATATATAGATTCAAGATAAATACATAACATTAACAGATTAAGAAAAAACTATACTTGAAAAACTACTTTAGAAATAAAATAATATTTTTTAATGATACTAAAATTTAGTTTCTTCCAATTTGAATCCAACAATAAGAAAAAAGGAGGTTAAATTTCTTAAAATAAAATAAGAAATAATATTTCATTTTGATAGTTACTTTTTTAAGTCGATGAATGTACGAGTATAATGTACAAATATCTTATAAGCATGATTAATACGATATGTGTTCGGTCAAAATAACAAAAATAAATAGAGCAGACATTATTACATTAAATAAAAAAGATAAATAATTTATTTTACAAAGATGACAAAACAACAATAACATAATAAAAATTGTAGAAAAATATATAAATAAAAAAGTATTAATTATCCCACTAAGTGCTTATAAAAGATATTCAATATATTTTTTATTATAATAACTTTATTAATTCATCCAAAAAAAAATATTGTTCTGATTATTGCATTTATTCCTTTTAAATTTTAATTTTAATCATTCTGTATTGAAACGACACTTTTTGGGACCAATATAAAATTAAAAATTTATGAAAATGCTTAATGCTTATAGGTGTTATAGCATGAGATATGATGAAAAAATATATATATTTTTTTGGCTTTGGATTGATAAACTCGACTTACCTCAGAAAGTTACAGAACCAAACTAACAGCAAGAACATGTAGAAGTGGTTTAAATAGATATGTGAATTACTAAAATATTCCATTCTTTTATCTCATAACATCATGAAACGAAAATGATAACCGCAACTGAATTTTAACAATAAGGTCATCAGCCCAGAACAATACAACTAATGTCCAGGCAGGTTAAGTTATCTTTGGGCCTATGGTAATAAGCAATTCTATGCCTCGGCTATGATATTCACAGAAAAGATAAAAGACTTAAAATGATAATTACAAATACAATTGGCTAATTTTGGAAACTATTAAGCCAAAAATCAGTATGACAGAGAAGGGTAGATAGGATATGATGATAGATAATGATTATTAACATTAAATAAATATTCATTTACAAAATAAATAAATATAAATATTTCAAACAGATAATATATGTTATAGTAGTCTCTTTTTCAAAATGTAAAGCACGCAGGCCAAAAAAAATACAAAGCCTAACAACAAAATTAGTTTATCAGTGAACTGGCGACGGGAATATTTGTCGAGTAATTTTCCAGATTGAGAAATAGCACTTTTAGTTTCCAATAATTCACCGCTTGTCCCAGTAACTGTCATTGAGGAGTTAGCTAAAAATAAAATCAAAGGACAAATAATTATTCTGTAATTAATTTAAAACTATGATTTAAAAATTAATGACCCAAATAACAAGAATGATTAAATAATAAATTTATAAAATTTAACAAAGATAATACAAATTATTGCACCAGTACATACAGGTTTTATAACAGGCAACTTTTACTTTCTTAAAATTTTCCAGTGAGGAACGTATTGCAATCGAGTTTAATTTTCTACAACTATCCAGTGTTTAATAGATTTTAGTCTTTCAAAACACCAGAGCCCAACAAAAAATTCAAACATTTAAATATGAGTCTACTCATTATCTCTTAAATGAGTAGAATGATTTTAGTGTTTTTTTTGTTTTTTTTATGTTTCATTAGTAGAGTTCAACCTAATGGAAAAATGAGTTGTTTACATTCTATGACTGTAGTGCAAAATCGGCTCGAATGATTTTGATAAGTTTGTCTTAAGTCACCTCTTTAAAATCCATTAATGTATAATGCAATGAAAAAAAGTTATGACGAAAATTAAATTTTGTTTGTACATATCTCCAAAATATACATTTTATAGAAAAAATATATATAACACATGAAAGGTAATTAAATTGTCAAAGATACAAAAAAATATCATCTAAATTAGATCAGTATTAAAATAAGATTTCATCTGCTCAAGATTGGATATGGTAGTATTTTAAAATTATTTTGTGCAGGCTCCCGTTGAAATTCATTCACTTTTTATTAGTTTTTTTAATAAGTTGAAAACTATGTATCTTATAAAATATTCCTCAGATCATCAACAAGAGCTAATCAAATAAAGTAAAATTTTTGTCCAAACCAATATTAGCAAAGATACAGACAGCAATGTTTGTAATGGACTTTGCACTCAATGAAGTAAGAAAAGTAATTTGAATGTACACACTAGATATTTTTTCACTATTCAAATATATATATAATAAAATATTAATCAAGTGACATTTATTAGACTAAAGAATATTGTAAAGACATAACATTATTTATTTTTATTTATTTATTAGTTACACATATTCCTGGCTCACAATAAATTTGCCATCTACCTCGGTATTCAACAAATATGATATCAAGGAGAATAAATGATAGCATAAAAAAAATAATAGTAATAACAAAACAATAACAAAAAAAAAAGTAGTAATTTAACACAAAATAACACACACATAATAACATAACACACACAAAAAAAGATAATACAGCAAGTAGCTCAATGCCTACTTAATAAGTCTCTTAGCCAGAGCCTCAGCAGTCTTGTGGGCGGATTATATGGATTTGTAGCAGTCGATAAAGCTTGAGTAAGTGGATTTGAATTTAGAGTCAGTCTGTCATGAAAATTATTAAAGCGGTCAGTGGCAGTTGCTGTGATGAAAGGACTGTTAGGTCAGTGTGTAACGTAAGGTTTGAAACAAAAAGGTTGCGTCTGCAATTTTCCGAAGGACCTCTGACTAGAATGATTGGATGATTTTTATATTTAAGTCCTTTGCTGTTCCCCATAGTTCGATTCCATATGTCCAAAGGGGTTTAATGAGGACTTTGTAAATAGTTAATTTATTAGTCACAGATAATTTAGAACATCTGTCAAGTAGCCTAGAAAGAAGTCCGTATCGCTAATTAAGTTCTTTTCTTTTTTGTTTTATGTGGTATGTCCATGAAAGTCGTTTGTCGAAGTGGAGACCCAAATATCGTACAGACATAACATGTTACAAAGACATAACATAACAAAATCAGTTCAACCCCTTTACAACCATTATCTAAGTGATAATAACTAGAAAGTTTACAAGGTTTGATATATTGGATAATTAAAATTGAAATTATTTTTAAAAATACCTAAAGTCTGAAGAGTGTCCGCACTTAACTGTGTGGTATCCGCTAAATGTCTACTTATTGATAACAATTGATCTGTTACATTAGAGGACATTTTAACCATATTTGCTTTATCTTTTTTGATCCTGAAATTCAATATAGTATTAATCTCACCCTCAGAGCAAAAAAACAAATAATTTAAACAATAACTAAATATAACCTTTGCCTAACAGAGTTAATCTCATCACTTTTGAAGAGTTCTTCTTTACTTGCTTTTTCAATAGCTAGCATACAGTTGACATTTGCTTTTCGAAACATGCTGAATGTACTACACAAATAAAATAAATGAATTATTTTCTATTTTGAAAACATAGTAAATTTTCACAAGAAAGTGATAAGTAATATTCATTAACTTATAATATTGTTCCCTATAGTTTCTGGCCTCTTCCAAGAGATCACTATCAGATGATTCTTTCCCATGAGATTCCAAGTCATCTATCATTTCCCTGAGGGAAGATAACTTAGAGCGACCATTGGCATTCAGTTCATTTAACTTTTCAAGAGGCCCATTGCAGTTTTGAATGTCCTATTCAAGATATTCAATTAATTATGAATACTTTAAATTAAACAAAGTTTATGCAAGTCATTTACCTGAATTAAAGATTTAATGCTTAAACTACACTTAACAATGTCCTGATTTAATTTGTCGACGTCAGTCATTATAAGGTAGATAAATCTGAAGGAACTAAAACAGCTATTTAAAAATTTAATAGTAAGTTTAAAAGCTTGTCATTTACATTAGGAACATGGACACCGTTCGCTAATAAAAGTTCATCGATCACGAGGAAAACGTGGAAGTAAATGTTTTTAAAACATGGAAGATTAGAATTATTTTAAAAAATAAATTACAATAAAATAATTTACAGTCTAAACATCAAACCAACTTATTCTAACCACAGTAGGGAGGTCGGGATTCATTACATTTGTTCGTCCTGTAGTAAATTTCAACTACGCACCTACACTAGCGGATCCAGGATTTAATTTTGGGGGGGGCTTCAGCCCGAAAGATTTTTTTTTTTCGGATACATATAACGATAATTAATTTGAAAAAAAAAGAAAGAAATTAACTACATATATGAAATGGTGTTTAAGTGGTTCTTGAAGTCCTATTAAATGTAATTACACGAATAAGAATACTTTAAGAGATAGTTTACCATATTTTTTTCTGTAAAACATGGTTATATTTTACCATTTTGGGGGTGGCTTCAGCCCGAAAGCCCCCCCCTCCCCGTAGATCCGCCTGTGCGCACCTAGAACGGATTCGACCGGCGTACACTGAGGTGAGCTAAGACTACTATTGGACATTGGTAGAAAAAACAAAAGTTAAAATTTGGAAGTTTGACTACACTAGTAACAAACTATTATCGTTTCATTAATCATTCATCATCAAATTAACAGGCATTAATAATGCTTTGATGTGAGATAACAGACTAAAGAATGAAAACTATATTTTTTATATTTAGAGCTGGTTTGCCGGTATATTTTGTTCAAACCTAACGGTATGGGTTAGGCAGAGTTAGGTTCTTCTAGTGAACCCCAAAACAGCTGAAATACACTAGTTTATTATAAATAAACATAGTCGTTATGATGTTTCAAACAATTGCAGACAATTTTGGTCCATTTCTAAAATCGCCCGAAAAAAAAACAGACAAACCCTACTGTTAAAAAACGTTAGAACTTCTAAAACAATTTTCAGACCTTGCCCCAACCGACCAACCTGGTAGTTATTGAGGATTTAACAAGCGGGAACGTTGAATTTAGAGTGATTACCATTACTTTGTATTTCAATTGAAATTCAAATACCTTGGCTCCACAATAACCTCAATGTATGATCAATGGTCAGAAATATACCAGCTTTAAATTGCACAAACAGAGCTTTGTTGTTCTCCCTTTTACAGGTATTGAAATCGTGAAAAATCTCAAATTAAAGGTGTACAATGCTATGATAAAACCAGTCCCAATATATGGCTATGAGACCTGAAAAATAACCAGCACCTCAGTAAAAAAGTATTTAAAGATTTGAGAGAAAAATCTTTCACAGGATAACCGGAGTGATCTGAGATTAGATTACTAACACGTGGAGAAGAAATACCAAAAAAGAATTGGTCACAGAAACTGATCAATCAATATCCCGTGATATGAAGTCACGGAGGTTAAGATGGGCGGTGCACGTAGTTCGTAGCATTCCATCTGGAAGCCTCTAGGTAATAATGAATGTATCAATAGAGGGCAAAAGACCACGTGGAAGGTTAAAAAGCACATCAACAGAATCAACAAAGATGCAATAGAGCTGCGAGCAGATAACTGGGAAGAAATAGCCGAAGGCTGTAATATTTCATATGAACTCACATAACTTTTAAACAGAAGAAATATAAGATAAAATAAAAATTAATATCTTATTACTTTGCTTTTGATGCATGCATCTGGTCGACTAAATGGCTTGAGTTCAAATTCAATACCTTCAAAACATAATGACAAAATTTGAGCAGTATAATTCAATTTCCGAGTAAGCTAGAGCCGATGTCCAGGAACCGTTTGTCCCAGTATGCAGCGCAAGATAGCCCAAGTTATAGTGCATTAACGACTTTGATAAAGATATCTGTAACATTTGGGAAATCTCGAAAGCAAGATCGTCATGAGGAGTTCTCTATACCTCAAGGAAGCAGTTCCCATCCACATAGTTTTCTACGTAAGTAAATTGGGATCCCTCAAGGAGGCGCTTTGCTTTCGAAGCATTGAAGCATTTACATTAAGAATATTCTTCTGTATTTACCAAATTAAATGAAAATTTTCTACGTCCTATATTAACGACTGCTAACAAACACAAAATTCGTCTCGGCAGCGGAAGGTCCCAACCTAAACTGAATGGAATTAGAGCGAATTAGAAACAAGAGCGCGCGTGGAGAGTGAGCGATCTGGGATTAGAGTACGAACATATGGACAAGAAAGAACTGTTTACAGAAAATGATCAATTAATATCCCCTGATATGAAGGCACGGAGGTTAAGATGGGCGGGACATATAGCTTGTAGCTATCCATCTGGAAGCCTTTGCATAACACAACACCTCAATAGAAGGCCAAAGACCACATGCAAGGCCAAAAAGCAGATGGATGCATAGAATCAACAAAGATGCAATAGAGCTGCAGATAAATGGAAAGAAATAGCCCGAGACAGGCAGAGATGTAGAAGGTGGCAAAAGATCTATACGGTCTGTAATGTCAACAAAAAAAATATCTGGTGTGCACAACACACATCTTTCACTTACCGCCCAACTTTAAATAGAAATTATTTTCTGGCCATGTTGGGCTACTATAAAATTGTATTTTTAACCGAGCTAAAGCTAAAAGCTTACAGCTAACAAATCATAAATACCATTAAAATAACAAAAGTCCTATTTATTATATCACCTGTTGATTATGGGTTGTACGATTCATTAATTATGGATTGTGCGATCCTTTGACTATAGATTGTACGACTATTAGTTATTAAACTGTTAATTTCCATAGCAAAGTTTACTAATATGGAATTGAGAGATTTACATTGTCTGTCATAGACAGGTCAAAAGTTGTCACACTAATTAGAAGTGGATACTGTTGGAATATCACAAAGGGAACATTCATGAAATTATTCACTAATTCAATTTCCTAAAAGTTTACATGATGATTTATCGGAATAAACGGATGATAGATACCTAATAATTTAAATACAATATAAGATCTAAAGTTATTAAACTACAGTAAATATATTTAATGTTAAAAACATATCCATGAAATATTTTTATATTTCACTTCTTCTTTCACACAAGTACAATGAAATAGTACCTTAAACAGTGTCATTGTCTTGAATCCATGGATTTTAAATACTTTTTCAAATTAAAAAAAAATGTTAAAAGTTTATATTTAGTAAGAAAATTTCATTTGATTTTCTTGAGAACACGTGATTTGTGTTAAATATATTTTTTTCACCACTCTCCATTACATTATACAATTTTCTATATTACATTTTTTTTTTTCTTTTAATCTCTGCTTTCCAACGATATGTTATACATGTACCTTCTGATTATTATTTCCGGATATTAATTCTCGGCCTGGATATGTATTTTTCTTTTTTTTTTCTTCCATATTCAATTATCAAAATCTTTTAAAAGTTATATTTAGCATTTTTTTTATAGCTCCTAACAATGAGAAATAGTTATTATTTATAATAAACCAAATTAAAGGTACTTTAGAGGAAGAAATGATAATGTTGGGATTTAACAAAGGGAAAATTCATCAATTTATTCACTAATTTAATTTTCTAAAAAGTTGCATGACGATTTTTTAGAATAAACAAAAGTTAATACCTAATTATTTAAATATAATATCAGATCTAGAATTATTAAACTATAGTCAATGTATTTAAGGTTATAAATAATTTATTCAATTCTCAAATTCTTTCAAAGTTATATTTAGCATTTTTTTTGTATCTCTTAATGATGTGAGATGATTATTTATTTAAACCATAAACCATACTAAAGGTACTTTAGAGGAAGACTTATATGAACATTATGTGAACACTCCTAACTGACATCAATGAGGATAAGAACTGATTGATATTAAAGACCACTTAATTATACAATGTTACACCCAGTTTAATCAAATTCGTTAGTGATTTTTAAAAAAACTGTAAAAATGTGTTTCAGTGTTGATATAAAGTGGCACTTCTGGTTATCCGATTTTAAGGAAAAAGTTGCTGCAGAACTATATAAAAATCTCAAATACACAATTTGTTCCGTACGACTTTTCATTTTTTGAGCTATGCTATTCACATACACATAGACCAGTTTGCGGGAATTGGTTATTTGGACTCAGAGGACCTCAAAACGTGTATTTCCGTTGAAAACTCAGATTCAAAAATTTTAATGATTGCAATAATTTCTCTTACTATTTTACATATATACGTAAGTGAAAGTAAAAAACTAAATTGCTAATGTGAGCTAGGGACAACTTTTCAAAACAAAAAAAGTCAGATTTTTTAAATATTTTTTAGTTTTTATACCTCTAACTCCTAAAAGGTGCATCAAAGCAAAAAATACTCTTTAAGAAATTACAGAATGTTAAATTCTGCGTTGATTGAGTATAAAAACTTAATAAATCGGTAACGTAATAAGGTATTGGTTATTTGGACTCAGGGTACTTCAAAACGTGTATTTCCGTTGAAAACTCAGATTCGAAAATGTTCGTGATCACAATACTTTCTCTTACTATATATTACATACATAGATAAGTGAAAGTAAAAAAGTACATAATGTATAGTATAGAATCTACATTTAATATTCACAATGAAATTTTCATTATTGGATTAGTGGTTGTGGGAGAGTCAAAATTGTTTTAAAGAATACCATTTTGTTTTGGTTTTTTTAAGAGAGAAAATTATCTAGCCTTAGATATGTCTTTTTTTTTTTTTTTTGCAAACTTAAAAGTAAGTTGAGGTATACATGGAAATACAAAGAGAAACATAATATTAAGAATAACAATTTTTGAATAATATTTTTATCATAAAGAACAAAACTGTATTGATAATTTCTAAAAACAAAACAAAAATAATTAGAACATGGTAACAAATAATTGAGAAGTACTTATCCACCAAAAAACTAGATTTCAATAAGATCACAGAATCAAACTTAAGAATAAAATAATAAATAAATATACCAAACGAAATAAAATTAGAAACTTATCAGTAATAATTCACAAATTACAATTGAAGGGAGTCAGCAATTAACAAAAAAAAAAGAATAACTTAAAATACATGGCGAGAACCAACAAGACAATTATTTACTTAATCTTTTATTGAAATCTTCCTTATAAATCATTTCTGTTAAGAGATTATCACACTTTAAACATATAAAAAGATAAAATAATTGAGACAGTGAGTTTGAATTTCAATTATCTATTTGATACTTTGAAAATTAAGATGTAATTCATACTTTATTCTGCAGTGAAGCGATTCAAGAAATATGAATTTACAATTGCTAGTAAATTTCAATTGGATTGAACTATTTTTCCATGAAATTTCAGCATAAAAGACAACAACTGTCTTGTTTACTGTAAGATTAAATTATTATTTTTTTGTTAAACAGAATGAATATACACTTCAATCACCAAAACTAATAATTAATAATTTAAACAATCTATTATTTTATTTATAAAATAGTAGATTAATGACAAGAATAATTAACATATTTTGTTTTCATTCTTAAAAAGGCTCTAATTTATTCCAAAAACTTTTCAAGAAAGCTATCACGAATATTATCACTTTAATACATTTTTTTTATGCTATGATTAAGAAAAGGAAATAGTGCTCGATTGATATTTCTTTTTGTCCCATATTTGATTGAGAAAATCATATATGGCTGCTGTTAATCAAATAGTGAATCAAACAATATATTACTCTTAATGTTAGAAAATATAATTAACAAAATTTGAAACAAGCTTATAACCAATATATGACCTAATTCGAGCTTTAGCAAAACAGCTCAATTAACTGCAGCAGAACTTTTTTTTTTTACTATTTTATCAATATACAAATTACAAATATAATTAACTCTTTGATAATCATAACAGGAACTTATGAGAAGTGTAGTTCCATTCTTAATAATAACATTTTTGATTTAAAAATATTAAATTAAGACATTTCGTACAATAACATAAGCTTATTAATAGAGTAGACCAACTTTTTGCTAGAATTTTATAATTATAAACTTAAATTCAATATATTTTCTTCAGTTACATTAGTTTCTTATTTTCTAGAATGAATTATTTTAAGATTATATATACTTTGTTAGTACACAAATAGAAATTCCTTTTTTAAAATAAATTTAGTAAAACTTATATTCAAATAACCTATCATATCATAATAAATGTTAAACTTTTTACAAAATTAGTTAATCTTTAAACGTAAACGATTGAGCATTTATAAACATACTTCTAACCAAAAAAACTATGAATTAAATCAGGAAATGTAACAAGTATAAGTGTTTTCCTCACGCTTGACTCTCCAGTTATCTGATTAAAAATATTTTAAAATAAAAAATGACAGAAAAAATTAAATGGAAAATGGCTGAAGATTGTTGAAACTTCAGAGAGATAAAATATAAACTCATTTCCAGATATTTGTCCTGCAAGGTGATGCAGGCATATAACGTCCAACAAGTCATTATTGCATTTTATATAAAAATTTTAAAATTTGTTAATCCATGAATATTTAAAATAAAACCCAAAAATTTAATTATTGAATTGAAAATATAACTATGACTATTTTTTTTAAAATGATATAAATTTGGTATAATTAATAAAATACATCTACCTTCAATACATAGAAACCCATCTCTAGAAGAATAGAAGTTCTATAAATAATTGAATTTGCATATGTAATGACATTAGAAACAAAAAACAATTTTAAAAAAATGTCTAATTTTGGCTGATAGGCCTCAAATTTTAAATAGGATTACAATCCATAGTACCTAGTAAAAAATGGATTGCAGATTAACTGAGATATCGAATAACTTTTAAACAACCTAAAGTAATCAGACTTTAGTATTAAAGTTATTATTGTTATAAAAAACTATTCCTTAATTTATATTATTTTATTATGTAAATAATACACCAAAACATTATAAGCATAGATTATAATACAGTTTTAAAAAACATTATTCAAAATAGAAAATTTTAATTGATTACATATTAATTATAATTAAATGTATTAGAATAATTTAGATCACCGAACTTTAATAATACTAATTAGCCAAATTGTCATATTTTAATCAATAATTGATTTTGTTTTTCTTTAAAAAATGTTGCAAGCCATTTCAAAGCATCATAAATAGTCCATTTTAGAAATCAATTTTAACAAAAACAAAGATAATACATTTTCTGAAAACTGGAGAGATAACAGAGCGGAAGAATCACATATTTAATAAAGAAAATAGAAACAGCTTTCACAAAATCTGGATAAGACCATATTTCTTTTCACAACTTTCTTCCTATCTTCAACTAAAAGAGAGCCTATTGTATAAATAAACACATTTTAAACAGACTTTTAATATAAAATAACAGTATTATATTAATATTTGACTAAATGATAATATTAAGTTGGAACAATATTGAATCATATCATGTTCGTTCATTAAGTAAAGTAACATTTTTCTCTTCAAAACCAAAATCAATAAAAAAACTAACTAAAATTAATTTTTTCAAGTTTGCTTATTTTATAAATTGGTTTCCTATACACAACCATAAAAATATACTAATATCACTCATTTTATTAACCTAATCAAAATTAAATCCGACTAACGTATTAAATTTTATTAAACATTTATTTTATCAGTGAAATAATAGTGTACAGCAGTAATGATAGATTTCATTAAAAATTTATTTCATTACAATTATATATGTTGATTATAATGCAATATACTTCTCCAGGCTTTCTATCAATAAATTCTGGCAAATCCAAAGTACCCATTATTTTTAAAACCAGAAAATAATTATCAAGAAAACTAAACAATTTCATTAATATAAAAAGTACATAATAAAATAAAACATTCAATTAATTAAAGTTATATTCACATCCAATCATTCTTTTAGGCACTTCAGGTTTCATCACATATTAAAAGTTCAAACAAAATAATAAAAGACAAGGAGCGATGAAAATGTTTATATCAATTACAGATCCGGCATGGATTTAGCATTTTCTTTTCTTTTCTTTATCCTGTCACATTTTGGGCATATATCTTTTTTACAACTAAGGTGGTAGACTGTTCTACACGAAGGACACTAAAATAAAGTAAAAATATATAAATAAATAACAATGTAATAAAAAAATACCAAAATTAATTAAATAATAGTATTGTTAATAATGGTACCAGCACACTTGATCAACAAGAGACTTAGTCAAATGACAAAACAATATATTAATAAGTTCACTACTTCAGTTGTAAATGTCTACTTGATTGCCTATAAATGGCCAAGTCAAAAAAAAAAAGTTATGGGAATATAACTCAACAAAAACAACATTCTTCTTCGTTATAAGGACCTATTTTGGTGAGATAATTCTTAGTCTAGACATTATGAAAATTTGCTTACCACTTATTAACTAGGGATAAAGAAATGAAAATAGATATGTTTAATTCCAATATACTTATTGTTGTCAAAAATTCCTATTTAGTTTTAAATATTTTATTTATTATACTTTTCAAAAACTTAAAAAGTTTTACCCTGTGTGTTGTCTCAATGTCGAATGGGTAGATGGCTTTATCATCATGGCACACTTCACAAATAAATCCCTTTTGGGAACACAATTGGCAGGTAAGAACATGATCTATAGAAATCTTAATGGCTCTTTTCAGGAGATCCACAAGTTTACCACTAGGTATATCAAATAGATCCTGTTTTAAACAAATCAACATTGTGTTTTTATTCTTTATTTATTAAATGTAATCAATAAACATGACACATACCGTCAAAGAGTAAAGATGAACATGTTCATAGAGATACTCTCTAGGCCATAATATCCTTTTTATCCTTTCCTTCACTGAATCATGACAGGTAAAAAGATAAATTCTTAGAAAATTTAACTGAAGTCTCAGCTTCTACAAAATTACACAATTTTATGATCCAGTACTTAATTACTTTAAAGTACTATCTATCAATTTTAATTTCCAATTTTGAGATTGGAGGTCAAAATCCTCATATCTAATAAATCCATAATACCTGCAAAGAAGACATTTCTGAGAAAACTAGGTATAGTTTTGGATTTATCTTCCTCACATCAAAAAGTGGAAAGTCTTGTATTTCTTGTAAAAACGTAGCAACCTTGCCACAAACTACATAACGAGAAAAATCCCAGTTATGCAATATTCTTCCAGGTAATGGAAATTCCGAAGATTTGAAACAATCTGGACAATAATAACAGCCAGTCAAGGAACACACACTATAACAAAGGATATTACTCTTTTCAAAAGGGAAATAGGAATATGGATGTAATAGAAAGGTACCTATTAATAAATATAATTGAATCCATATAATTTTGGATCTGAGCAATGTCGGACTCCCCACTTCGTTCAGCAATAAGATTTAATTTAATTATTTTTCATAAATAAAATATTTTCTATTATAGTAATAACATTTAAAGATCATTCACATATTTTTTTCTGAAGGACATAACACTTCTTTCTAGCTGGAATTAATATATGAAACTATCAATATACTTTTTATTAGAGTATGTTTAGATTGAAAATCATCCTTTTATATTTGAAATAAAAGTCAAGCATCTATATTTATTCTAAATGGAATACAAAAGAATATTGCAATAGTTAATAAATTACTTCTCTTGATCAATTGGCTTATCATTTCAGATTTTTTGAGAAGCGAACCCCCACACAAAAGTATAGAACTTTATTGACACTAAAATTAAACCAATGGTAGAGACTATAAATATTTAAGGCACCAAAATAAATAAATCATAATAAACAAAATATATATCAAATGGTCACACTGAAAAAACAAACAAAATAAATTTTGTTCACATATTAAAGCACTTAGTAAAGAAAGATCAGAATTTTCAATTTTTTTTTTTTCAAAGAGTTTGGAATAAAATCACTATAAAAAGAGCTTGGTATAATATTGCTGTACAACTAAAATTATACATTTTGAAAATCTGTTATGTTAACATAATAATCAGTAATTGAAACTTTTAATTCTGATTTTCTTTCATTTCGAGATAGTGGCATTTCTTTTTTAAATTTCTTATACTTTTCAAACTAAACGACAGGGATGAGAACAACGGTTTAATTATGCGAAATAAAGTGTTGAAATTTTATATCATTAATTTGAAAGTAGATATTAACAAAAATCACCTTAGATGTATTTTAAAACTAAATTAATTCTGTTTCATGACTTAAATTTATTGATAAATGATGGTCACTGTCAAGAACCTGATTTTGGCAACAGGATAACCTATTTTTCCTTTATATTTAATCCAAAAACAATAGCAATTTTTTTTTCAACGAGAGAATAGTGAATGGTCCTATTTTTAAGACCTATATATTATATGTCTTTATATAAGTATATATTTTTTAATTGATGGGGAGTACAGACCAGTCAGCTACTGGCAAAATGATCCATTATAAGGCTCGAGTACCTGACACCCATTAAAATTCCAATTTCTCATCAAGGTAAGTTAAATATATAATCTAAACACGCTCCAAGAAAAAAGTAAACAAAAATGTTGGGATAAATCAAAGTAGTTAAAGAGAAAAGCCAAACCAAAGATATGGTGTTCTTACTGATAAATGGTCGTTTCAGAAACACTAAATGGACCACAAGGGACTTTCCTAATTTGAAACCCATTATTAGGATTAAGGTTGCCGGCAAACCTGAAGAAAAACAGATAAATATACCAGGAGAAAATATAAAAACCAAAACATTCATGAAATAGAGGTCTGGGAGGTCCTGAAATCTTATCCTGTCAAAAGAGTATCCCACATAATCTGACTCTCTGTTATGAAAAGGTTGCAAGCCCCTCATCATATAATGAATCATTAAACAAAAGTACACTAATAATAATGCAAATATAGATAATAAAGTACTCACCTAACATTGCCAAAAGAAAGGCCAATTAACTGCCCACATTCCTTACATGAAAAATTTTGATCAACGAGTCCTTTTTCATTTCTTATCTTCCCCAGCTGTTCCACCAGCGATTTAAACTCCTACAAATTAAAACAATACCTCAGATTACAATAAAATGAAGTTTTAACACAAATAGTAAACTTTAAAACTTACAGGAATGTTAAAATTTATTGCTGATTCTTCAATCACCTCAAAATCATTAGAAGTCTGACTCTAAAAATTAGAACTTCATTTTATTAGACATCAAACACATTTCTGTTCTGTAGTAAATTAAAAATTGTGCACTGAATAAAGATTTGGTTTTAATAAAACAAAATTATTCCAATATTCAATCTAATACTTAACTCGCTAATATATGAATTATAAAACTCTTTAATTTAATTCATAATTATAAAACTAGATTTAGTCATTTTAATTAAAGCGATCAAGAGATATGCTAATGGTCATTCCAACAGGATGATTCCTTTAAATTTATAAATAAATAATACCTTATTTATTATAAAAACAATTTTACCTTTAACATACGCTGAGATGTTGACTGACGTTTAGGTGAGATAGGTTTATTTATATTAGGGCCAAATTTGTTTATTATATCATCAATATTAGGTTTTTGCATAGTGCTGTTATCTACTTTATAACTGTCTATTATTTTATGATAACTCTCCAATGTACTGTTATCAGCCATTTTTTCTTCATCAGCACTTGAAATCAATTGGACATCTAATCCAGATTCCTCTTCCTCTGATTGATTATCATCGGTGTTCATAACCTTTGAAGGAGGTGGGACATCAGTGGAAGTAGATGCAGCCTCAAAGGGAAATTCAACATCATTTGTGCTTTTTTCTTCTGAATCGTACAAGTTCATATGAGAATGGAGGGGACTACCCTCAACAGGAGTTCCTAGAATTTTTTTAAAAGCTTCATCTTCAACATATTTTCCAGAACTACTGGGTATAGAAGACACGGAAATAGTTTCTGATTTATCATTATCCACTGGTAGACCTTTAGCAATATCTGTTCCAACAGAAATTGGCACCTCTTTCATTGGAGGAGTCCAAAGGCCGGCTAACAACAAAGGAGCATTCGACCAATTGTTCAACACACTCGAGTTGGTCGGGAGGGAAAAGGAGAATCCTGCCAAGCCTTCAAGCAACTTAGTGACCACACCTAAAGCTTCAAGATCTCTCAGAAATGCGAAACGTTTATAGTACGGAGAAAGCGATGAATTATCTTGGCTTATCATCATAAGATAACTTGTTATCATGCCTTCATTTAACGACAGGCGAAGCCATGCTCTAGAACGTCCTACATCAGTTGTAATCTGGCTCAGTTTGGTTATCTAATAAAAAAAAAAGTATCTGTAAGTTCAAGTTTACAAAAAATAACATATGATAATTGTACGTTTTAAGTGACTACCTTTCACATATAAATAAAAATATAGCATTAGTAAGTAGTATACAATTATTCCAATGATTTAAAAAAGAAAACTCAAGCTCCACATCTCATGAAAGAGATAAAGGCTACTATTACAAGGGAACTATTACTCCCATGGTGGTAGTTAATGAGCATAAATGTGTGGAAAGCAGCCATATGTTAAACCTCTCAACATTACAATTATTTTTGCTTTTCTAGACCAGGCTGGTAAAAAAATTGGTATCCATGATTTTTTATGAGAAAATCCGATCTACTATACCATCTGGGAAGCAAAATGTGATATAAAACTTCCAATAAGAAGAAGACTAATAAAGTTTTATTTGCAAAATGAATATGCACTATTTTATTTTTCAACATTCAATTTTTTATCTTAATACCAATTCATTTTAGTTTTGTATTTGTTATATTATATTAACTATTGGAAAACTTTCATTACTTTGAACGAAAGCACTGTTTCTTGGTCAATAGTTGTACAAAGAGCTGATTTGACCAAGATCACGCTCAACTGCCAGGTTTTTCCCTTAATCAATTATTTAATTAAGAGTACAAATTTTATGGTTGGGCCCCATGGGGCTCTCTTAACTTCAGGATTGATTCATGGCTGATGAAACAGAATAAATTATTATCTGCCACAGCCAGACTCCTAAGAGAATCTGGAGCATAGGAACACAGTGCCCCTCTCACCGACTTACCCTGTTCCTTAAAATAAAGATAAAAAGTTAATAAATTGATTGTATTGAATAGGCAATTAATGAAAATTATGTTTGTTTTTTTGTCTTCATAAGATTTTTTAAAACATAAAATTGGTGATAAGCAAGCAGGAATATACTCCATATTGCCCTGGAACCAGGGCCCAAAAATCGAACCGATTGCAGGTGAAGGTTTGATTCTAAATTACGAAAGTGTATGTTATTCTGAGCAAAAAGAACACAGTCGGCCATTCCAGAGACGCTGCTTTCAAAAATGGCAGCTGATTTAAAGAATATTAGGCCAGTAACCTGAGGAACGAAACGACAAATCTGTTTCCAAAAATATGAGAAAATTTTATATTTTTTAATGTTGTTTATATGGGTTTAGATATGTAAAAATCTGGTGCGCGCAACACACAACTTTCACATACCACTATACTTTGAATAAAAATTATTTTCTGGCAATTTTAAAATTTGGGCAATTAAGTTGGGCTATTATAAAATTTTTGATGTGCATTTTAAACAGAGCTATAGCTTAAAGCTTACAAATAATCAAGATCATCAAAATTACAAAAAGACTATTTATTATTTTGACGCTAGACAATAAAAATCTAGTTTCTCCATCAGCTTTTATAAACCACATCTCTGAGCCTTTCAGTTGACAGAATGATTAACTCATATTTCAACGATTTTGAATAATGTCATTTTAGTGATAATTCTAGTTGGAATATATCTATAAAGACAGTGAGTAAGTTGATTCCAGAGTAGGTGATTGCAGTGTTGAAATATAAAACTGTGGATAAAGGTATAAATTATGCTACAAGAAACATCACTAAAATTAATAATAAAGGATGTTGAAATTGGAGGAAATCATTCTGTCGATCGAAAGGCTCATTTATGCCTAGAGAGATTTATCTGAATATTTAACCTATAAATGATTGTGGATTGTGGATTGTAGGACTATTAGTTATTGAACTGTTATTTTCCATTGTAAAGTTTACTAAAATGAAATTAAGAGATTTTCAATGCATGCCATGAATAGGTCAAAAGTTGTCACACTAATTGTAAGTGGCATTTTACAATGGGAAAATTCATCAAATTATTCACTAATTTAATTTTCTTAAAAGGTTACTTGATGATTTTTTGGAATAAATGGCCAATAGAAACCTCATTATATAAATATAATATCATATCTAGAGTTATTAAACTGCAGTAAATGTATTTAAGGTTACAAACATATCCATGAAATATTACATTTCACTTCTTCTTTTACACAAGTACAATGAAATAGTATTTTAAACAATGGCACTGGCTTGATTCAGTGTATTTTAAATACTTTTTTACTTTACTTAGAAAAAAATTTAAAAGTTTACATTTAGTAAGAAAATTTCATTTAAATTCCTTGGAAACATGTGATTTAGATTAAATAATATTAGTTTTCAGATAATTATTACTTATATTTTTTTTATCACTCTCCATCAACTTCTACTACTTTAGGGCCCCTCAAAACGTTTATTCCCGTTGAAAACTCAGATTCAAAAATTTTAATGATTGCAATAATTTCTCTTACTATTTTACATATATACGTAAGTGAAAGAAAAAAAACTAAATTGCTAATGCGAGCTATCAAGGGACAACTTTTCAAAGCCAATAGAAGGTTCGGTTCTGCACGGCCTAGGGTAACAGGGCAACAGAACCACGGGATGACCGGTTTTTGATTTTGAGAATTTTACGAAACTAGCACCTTGCCGTTGCTCAAGCGATTCATCAGCTCGAAGAAGTTCGAGGTGTGCAAATTTCTGAACATACTGCTCGGAGAAGATTAAATGAGTATGGATTAATGGCTTTGGACACAGCCATTGGACTACGAACGAATGGAGTGCTGTACTTTTTACAGATGAGTAAAGATTCGCTCTTCGATCTCCAGATGGGCATGAAAGGGTGTGGAGAAGAAGAAACGAAAGATATGCAGCCTATAATTTTTCTCAGAGCCAACCTTTCCAACGTGGTTCCTTAATGGTGTGGACTGGGATTTCAATGGAGCGCCGCACAGAATTGGTTGTTGTTCCTGGAGGGTCTTTGACAATTCGCTATGTAGATGAGATTTTGGAACCTCATGTGTTGGCTATCCTTAACGAAATCGGCAATCGTTCTATTATAATAATAATGCCCGATAATGCACGCCCACATAATGCAGACGTTCCTTCAACAGAACAATATTGAGGTTTTAGCCTGGCTAGCACGTTCTCCAGATTTGAACCCCAATGAGCATTTATAGGATAACCTCGGAAGACGAATAAGAGCGCGTGCAACACTTCCTGGTACACTGCAGGACCTTGAAAGGGCTCTTCGGGAGGAATGGGCTATCCTCCAGCAAAGGGACATTTCCCGACTGGTGGAAAGTATGCCGAGGCATCTTCAAGAAGTAGTGAAGGCAAGAGGAGGAAACACGCACTACTAAACGATGATGTAATTAATTTCTTTTAGAATAATAATGGTTCGTTTTTCAATTTTTTTTTTCTCTAATCTTTCTTACCCAATCACATTTTGGTTATTAAAGGTAAAAAAATTATAAAATTCCATAAATACTAAGTATTATCTACAAATACAACTTTTTTTAGAAGTGGCAGAAATATTTTTAGATGAAAACATGAAAAAATCAAGTAGGTGGAATTTTTAGCCTGTCAGTGTATCTCAAATCGGGATTCGTTATTACTTTATGAAATTCGGTATCTTTCGGCACATCGTATATCAAAATATTTCGCTGCTGAGGTGGAAAAAACCTTATACTGCAGGTAACAGATCCTAAACCAAAATAACTCAGTAGAATAGACGCATACCTTCATTACCAATTTCTAACCATCAGGAGATTACCGATTTTGTTCAAATTAAGTGACCCACATTAAAATAGTCGGTACTCAGTGGACGCAAAATTTGATGCTCTACAACTTTGATTCTATGGATTTTTCCTATTATAGAACTCATTTCCAAGCTATAGGGCCATTTATAGTAATTTGACTTGGTTATTGACAAATTTGGTAAAAAGCAGCCTTGGTTGACCGTGGTTTTCTACCGTACTACTTATCCAAATTATTAGGTTTAGGTACTCTTTCATTGCACAATTTAACGTTCTTTAATTTCTTAAAGAGTATGTTTTTCACTTTGATGCATCGTTTAAGAGTTATAAGTGAAAAAATATATATATAAAAAAATTTTTAATTTTTTGGCTGTAAAAATTTTCCCTTTGTGGGCCCTGTTAGTAATTTCATTTTTGACATATCTACACCCACATATGCAAGTTAAAAAAACAAAAACTTTTCTCACATTTTCAGCAATGGAGTCCCTGTTTTGATCCTTTAAAATTAATGGCTTTATGTCAGCCGCCATTTCTTAAAGCAGCGGCTCTAAAATGGCAGACAAGATTCATTTTACTTAGAATAACATACAATTTCATAATTTGCATTCAAACCTTCGCCTGCGATCAGGTCGATTTTTGGGCCCTGGCTCCAAGGCCAATAGTATATATAATAAAGATTTCCTGTAAATATAACATTTTAACCAATTTCACAAAAATATTATTAATCTTTTTAAATTTCATTTGTCCTCAACTTCCAAACTTTCAACAATATTGTCAGTTTGTGCCTATTCTATGACACAGAAAAATAATAGACAAAAACAACAATCAGTATGAACAAATTCATGCCTTGCATCTTTCAACTGAAGTTAATTTTTTTTTTTTTTTTTAATTGGTGATATTAAAGCAGGGAGTAAAATTAGATATTTTCAGAAAAAATATAATTGATTAAATACTTTGATATACATTTAAATGGACATATTTAATACAAACAATATGTGCTTTGCCCCGTAGTTGAAAAAAAAACAATAACATAACTATTGAAAAAATACTAAATAATATAACATGACAGTAAGAAATTCAAGATAAACTCAGACAATTGATAAATTTACATCAAATGACTTCTAAAATAATACTTTATAGTTAATTAAATAAAACTATAAACTATACCAACCTGTTTAATTACTTCACTATGAGAAAATATCATTAACACACTCCAAAACTCTGGACTGGGCCTTTGATCTGGATCACCAAGTACTGATGTCATACGATCAGCCAAAGATTCTTTTAAACCATGAATAAACATTGCTTCTAAAACATTACATAATGAATTGATTGTTTCACCACTAGCTTCACATTCCTGAGAGAATTCAAATTGAATGCTTTTCACGGTTGTCATAACTTCAGTTGTCAACAACTCTTTAACAGAGGACTCTCTCCTTCTCATTTCTAAACCCCTCAAAAAAGACTTCATTGTTGTTCCTTCAGAGAAAACTTTTCCAATATAGATACAGTTTTATTCAAAGCGTTACCGTTCCTTATGATTTTGTATTTTCCGGCCTCAGTTAAGTCAACTATTGTCGATCCAGCTCTTGAAGTCTCTGAAAAACTTAATGTACCACCATCAAACACAGCTCCTAATTTATTCCATAATTCTTTAAACTCATTTGGGTCTAGTGTACTATTAGAATTGCTAAGATTGGCACTAGTTAGAGCTATAGCAAATCCAAATTGCTTCACGATGTCCCTAACAAAACTACTATCTGGAATGCGGACACCAACTTTGTCAACACCAGGATTCAACTTTAGACTTGTTGCATTAGTTCTCTGTAGAAGAACTGTAACTGGGCCTGGCAACAGTTCTTCTAAAAGTCCAGAGGGAAGTAAACTAACATTGCCCCACTTCGAAATATCACTCACGTTTCCAACACAAATAGCTATGGGCTTATTAAAATCACGTCCCTTTATGTCATATAAAGCTTGAACAGAATGGCAATTCCTAGAATCTGCAGCAAGTCCATAAACAGTATCAGTTGGTATAGCAATCACCTCACCTTTCTGTAGAAGTTTCACTGCTACTTGTACTGAATCACTATTCACAGGTAAGATTTTCGTCATATCATTTTGATTGGTTAATTCTAGTAGTTGTGTTGAATTATATTTCTTCAAAAAATAACGAGTAGTAATTGATTTAAGAATCATCGAAGCAGACTTATCACTTATTCCCGCCACCTATGACTACAAGTTTGATTGCAGCATTTGTAGAAAGTAGTCATGGGTTCATCAGCAGATCTAGTTTGAATCTGCATAAAATAAGCTCTGGAATGAGAACAAACTGGACAACGTTCATCTGTTGAATCTACGTTCTCCCAAGCTGCTGCACCACCTAGGACATCATCGATTTCCTAAAAGCAAAATATGGATTATTTATCTTGACAATCAATATTTTCCTAACAAGTAGTAAAACACTTTGTTAACAAAGAAAATTGAAACTGACCCAGAGACATTCAAAAGTTCATGATTTTATTAACAGCAAAGAATGTATTTTACTAACTTTGTTTACATTGAAACTATTTCATAAAAGCAAAATATTTATCAAGGAAAAAATTGTTAAAATGTTATGTAACTTATGAATAATCACAAATTTATATTATTAAAATAAAAACCTACTTGGCATTTCTGATTCTCACATAATTTAATGATGTCTAGATCACAACATACTATAAAACATCAACGTAAAATACTATAAACTCTAATTAGTAACAATTAATGTAAACAAATAGTAATACCTTCAACTTTGGATAAGTTCTGAATGATATCCTCTTAGTTATGTTGAAACAGTAAGGACAACATCTACATTTGTATCTTAAACGCCCCAAATACTCCTCCACAATTAAAACACTACCACATGTAGGGCAAAAAAACATTCTTAAATCATATATAGTCAAAAGACTTAAGAAAACCAATTAAAGCTAGAAAAAGAAATCAATTTACCAATACAGAGCACAATGGTACTTTAAACTCAACGAGGACACTAAACATTGCTTAACAAGTTTGAACAAAGCAAAATTCTGTACAGGACAGTTTAGAATACCAATGCAAAGAGGTAAGCACTTTTTCTGAACAAGAAACCATATTTCATTTGTTGACAATAATAATCAACTTAGAGTTAGGCATCAGAATATAACTTAAATCCTAAAGTCTAATAAATAAATTAAAGCTGCAGTAATCTTCATCATCATGTTTAGCTGGAACTGATTAAATAAATTAAAATAATAAATAAACTTATTATATTTATTAATTAATACTTTACCTTAAACGCACTTATAGTTATAATCAAAAAATTTCCTTTTCAGGACAAAACTAAATCGAAAAACAAAACTATTTGAGTCCTGTTTCTAGATATTAAGCCGCTAAAGAGCCACACTCCCTCCTACCCATGTAAGTTCTGTTTTGTTACCAAAAGACTCTTTTAGTGAACTGTTAATACAATACAGTTAATGCAACCTATAAAAATACTCATAATTTACCGCTCTCCTAATGTTTTTCTGTTAAATAGTTGAACTTCCATTACACGAACTTCTGATTTTTCTCCTCTACAAATTTTGAAGATCAGTCGTAAAATCTGTTTCCATTTTTGATCATGTAAAAACAGTATCAAGTTTTTTGTTCATTAGGTTGATACAAGAAAAAATATGACGGCACATTCTGTTTTCGTTCGACAAGCTGATTGTTAACAATCATAATTTGTTGATAATTAATTAAAAATGTGATTTAACCAAAATAAGGCTCAATCACCATGTTTTCTCCTCTAATTAGTTAAGGGTACCGACTTTTTAGAGGCTGGGTGTACCTCAGGAGGATCTTTCAACATCAGGGTCGACCCTCGGCTGATATAGCAGAATAAATAATTATTTGTCACAGCTGAACTCGAAACCGGGATCCGGAGAAGTTGATCACAGCGCCTTACTCTCTAAACTTCCTTACTTTGTTTTTTTTTAAATTATTGGAAGTTTTAATTATATTACTTTAGGTTGATTGAAATATTTGTTGAAATATAAATTGTGAAACAAGCTCTGTAAACCTTTACGCCGGCCCTAAATCGCTTCTTAAAGAATGAATGGATGAATATGTTTGTCACCTAATACCAAACATCATAATGCACTTTTCAAGCGAACTTTACGTAGACCAGGAAAGGAATCCTGAGAAGTCTGATTGTTATGGGCCCAATTAGCTGTTTTGTAACATTGGCTCTGGAAGGAAAAAAAACGTTTCTCTCATGTATGGCACCGCTTCTTCTAAATATCGTATCACTAAATTAAACGAAGAAAAATACTTTTAAGTATATTGAAGTCTGTTTAAGAGTAAATTAATTTTTCCACAAACAACTACAGTTAAAGTCTGAAATAATTTTTAGAAAAATCTGGTATAAAGTCACTAAATCATTGTACAGGAGTAAGGAACAATTCATATTATTTATGCTACAGTATTTTTAAGTCTTCTTTAAATAGTTTAAGAGCTACTATGCTCGTTATTACTTTATACAAATACTACATAAAGTTATCGAAATTGATGTAATGTGAGAACATTTTCGCTGTTTCTTTTAATATTTTATGTTCGATTGAACCGCATGTTAGGTGAATTAGTACCTCTACAAAGTTGAGCAACCACTTGTAATTTTTGTTATATGTTTTTTCATTCTGTTCCTATTGTTTTTCATTCAGATTTATGATTTATTCAGTTGATCAGATGTACATGGTACTTTACTCATTATGTGTGTGAAATAGGCATAATTCAAATTTAACACAGGTAAAACTCAGAGACTCAGATAGTCAATTAACTGTAAATGATCAATCTTTAATTGTTTTATGAATGTATCAATAAAGCTCTCCGATTTGACATATGATTAGTTAATCTTACTGAGTTTCATTGACAGAAATAATAATGTTGCTTAGATCTTTGCGGTAAGCAAGAAAACAATGTTAATGAAAAATCGGTACGGAAGGTTTTATGTCGTATTTCAAGGATTACTACTTCACATTTTTTCTACTTTATTAATTATCAACCTAATGTTTAATAACATTAAGTTTTAATGGGAGATCAGCAATGAAAATATAATAAACAAAACAGTTGCATCCTTCTCTTCGGCACCATTTATAAATAGTAGATTAGTTGATTGAAGAAAAATATTTTTCTCCTCAATCAACTCCTTTTCTAAAGCCTTACGAAATCTCTGATAAGTATGGCACTTGTGGTGAATTGCTTACAACAGTAGCTTCAGAAATATTTGAACGTTAGTTTCTTTTGTTTTACAAGCCTAAAAAATTGTTTGTACTGATAGAATGACGGAGTAATTTATTCCAGTCAATAAAATTCAAACATATAGGTTGAACATATAAACCAAATCAGTGAACTTTTAAAATGGAGCTGCACGGTTTCGATTCCCCAAGATAACGCAGAGTATGAATGAATGAATGAAAAGTAAATTTTATTCTGGGAAAATAATTATTATGATCAATTTAGTGACGATTGTCTGGCACACAAGTTAATCATCTTCTTGTAGTTAATCAAATAACATTGCTATTGTTTCTTTATATTAAAATAAAGACAGACACAAGATAACATTTTAATTATAGGCAGATTTATAAGAGTGTGTTTACAAATAGACAATGGAGGTACGATAACTATATACGCTACTGTGATGAGCATCAAGAAGAATATTACTGTTCAAAATATACAACTTTATGGACTGATTTTTTTTATTGGAAAGATTGGAATTTAATTTTTGTAGAATAAAGTGTATTTTGAACGGAATGCATGTGCTTTTTATTCGTATTCTCACAACGATGTTCAGTTATTAACTTCCATATTCTTTGTAGTTAAAAATAAAATAATTCTAAATTAAAGGATCTTATTTAACAAACTATTTATATCTCCAAATTTGATCAACTATTATCTCTTTGTCCTTCTTGAACGAATTTAATATGTAACCGCCTTTTTTAATCAAATCAATTTTTTTCCTTGAGACTATCTCGGTTTGTTTGTGATGACTGATTTAGATTCCGAGTCAATTATTCCCAGGAAAAAAAGAAGAATCACTAGGGAAGTGGAAAACTTGTTAAATATAATTTTGGTAAATTGTTCTTGTTTTTATTTTTAAGTCAAATTACATTTATGTGCTTGTTAGAGAATGAATTGATGAATGATAGGTTTTCAGAATAATTGTTGATTTATTTCTGTTATTTTATTAAAAACTAGTACAAGTTATGTTTATTCAAAATAATAGAAAATCTCATTTCAAAGTTGTATCTTAAAAATAAATGTTGACAGAGGTTGTGTACTCTTTTATTATCTCTTCTCTGTAAATATATATAAATTTTAAGGTCTAGTTCTGAATCATTGCTCCAAAATGACAGTTGATCTAACATGTATTTTATAGCTATATGTGTTTTCTGATTCCACATTTCTCCCGTATCCTTCTACAGTTTATAATATCGTCAATTTATAATGACATTGTATGTGAAAATGATTGTAATTACTCTGCTCGGGTTTCCGTGTATAGTGGGTTTTTTTTTGGTTTTTTTGCGGCATGAGTGCACTACGGCCATGAAAGCCTATTGTACGCCTAGTTTGAAGTCACTTCTATAGTGAGTTTAATATGATCTTGAAACCAACCGCTGTTTTAAAGTAATGATTTGGACCTAGTACCCAATTTTATTTTCAAACATTAGAAATATGTTATATACAAATATGTATATAATTGCTATTATATTTTTTAGGATCATGATACCAAAAATGCAGATGAAAATACCGACAATGATTCTCAGCTGTGTTCTGATAATGATCAGGTATCGCATTAGTTCTCAATAATCTAAGTAGTCACGTAAGCTACTTGTCCATTTGGGAGTGAATGTTGTGAATAATTTCAAGAGTAACCCTCAAGTGAAACACCTATTTCTGGTGAATATTCTCAAAGCTGTATTCACTAGCTAGTGAAACTCTCAAGAGTAATAAATTCTCAAGTGGACATCCAGCTTTACTATTGACAATATTTTGTTTTATTTTCACTAATCCTTCTATTTGTTTATTTGTACAATGTATGAAATAAAATATGATTTGGCTCACAGTAATCGTCCCAATTTGTGAATATGTGACATTGTCATAATAGTGCATTTTTCACTTTTAAGATTTATTTTTAGGATATTGCTGGCAAAATCAAAAGTATCAAGCTTCAAAACTTCATGTGTCATAGTAATTTTGAATTTACCTTTGAAGATAAAGTAAATTTTATCAGTGGAAAGAATGGAAGCGGTAAAAGTGCTATACTAACAGCTCTTGTCATAGGTCTTGGTGGAAGGACTGCTGATACGAATCGAGGACATTCTTTGAAGAGTAAGGTTTTTTTTATTTTAACTTTAATCTAAATATGATGTAGAGATGGTTGACCGTTGATATAATATGAGAAGGAGTTAGTCGAGGGTGCGGTCAAATAATTAAAAAAAATTAAAATATATAAATTATTTTAATTTTTGCCGACGTTTCGACCCACTTTGCAGGTCGTCTTCAGGGTGTAGGATGTGGCACTGCGGGAGGCAGTGCAGGCCTGCAAAGTGGGTCGAGACGTCGGCAAAAATTAAAATAATTTATATATTTTAATTTTTTTTATTTATTTGACCGCACCCTCGACTAACTCCTTCTCATTTAATCTAAATAATTTTTCAAAATAAACCACACCAATATGTTGAAGAGTTATGGATTTCTAACGAAATGATATGAAAGCATTTAAAGATAAAATTAGATTACTAGCTTAGAAAAAAATATTGTACAAATAATTCAAATTTCCATGGTACGTGTTTTCCAAAATTTAAATTACTAAATAAACAATCATTAACATTATTTTAAAAACATATTTTTTAGTTTTAAAATACTGCTTGATGGAGTAAATTTTAAAAATATACCAAATACAAATTAGTACCAAAAAATAATTTAAACCTTGTTAGTTACATTAAAAAAAAATTAAATCTTATCATTATAAATAATAATTTACTCTTAGTTATTCCTCTGTTAAACTATGGACATATGTACCTAAGTTTTATGCTTCAAATATCTTGAATTAATTACAGCTGATTATCAGTTATGTATTATTACTTTTTTACTTATTTATTCTTTTTTATTGTCTTTATATTTCACTTTTTGCCTTGTTTATGATCTTATTATAATAAATGTGTATTATATATTATATTTTTATAACTTATAATATTCTATTTCAGATTTAATTCAGAATGGAAAGCACAAAGCTACTATTGAAATTACTCTAAGTAATAAAGGTTTCTCTTCCTTTAAAAAGAATATTTATGGTAATGTTATCAAAGTTGTTAGACATATCACTCCATCCTCTTCAGGATACAAAATTATCTCTGAAAGAGGTGAGTCATATGATAATTAATTATATTTATTTTTCCTCAAGCTAGAAAAAGGACTAAAATTTATTTTTTAAGATTATACTGTTTTAGTTTATATGTTCTATATTTACATAATTTATTTAAACATATCTATTATTTATCGCTTCTATTAGTGCAAAAGGTTGTATGTAAAAATTGAGTTGCAAAATAGCATAAAAACTGATTATTTCTATTTGATTTATTAGCATAATTTCATATTTTATTTCCCTACATATTTTTCATAGTAGCAGGCTATTTATTGCAGTTGCAGACAACAAAATGTCACCTTTAGCACTAATAGAATTAACATAAATAATTGTTACTTACAACCTTTTGCACTAACAGTAGCTATAGTTTTCTTATTTTTACAAATCTGTTTACATTTTCAAATTGGATTTATTCATTATTTATATAATAATTAATAGTTTAAAGAAAAGAATAATATAATAGTGAAACATACCTTTACAGGGAATAGTATTATGCGAGTAATTCCAAGAATACAAACCATTTTGTGCTATCAAATTTTTAAAAAATAGTGAAACTTATGTTTTTAATTGTTTCTATTTATACTGACAATGGTTTTCTCATTTAGCTATAGTTGTGTGGAAGAATTGAAGTCATTACACCATTTCAATTTTTTTATTTTACTTTTTTTTTTTAATAATGATATTTTAAAAAAAAATCAGTACAATCCAATGTTAATTATAATCAGTGTTTTTATAGATTAAATCAACTAAATTAAGATTAAGAACTTTGCATATAAAAATGGCTAAAACTATTGAATGAAAAAGAGAAAGGTTCATGTTACCTTTGGTGACATTAATGGCCTGTAATCCAAGAATTTGTCATAAATGAACTTATCAGTAATAAATATATTACATTATAGGTATATTTAAATTTGAAAAATAATAAATCTAAAAGAATAAAATTATAAGGAAAAAAGTGAAATTAAATTATAAGAAAAGCCATTCATCATCAGTTTGCCTTACTAAACTTTTCTAATGAATTTAATTAATGAGTCTCGAAATTTTGAATTGTTTGTGTTCAACCTTTGACCAGTGCTGTACTTTAGTATGATATATTCTATAAAGTGTGCTGGAGATTCATTGCTTCTGTGAATAAATAGTAAAACCTAAAGTAAAGTCATTGCTGTTTGTGTTAAAGTAATTTTTAATGTCAGTAAACCCTTCACAGATAAATGCTTGTTGAGTAACATGTTCTCCAGTTTTCTTTCTGTTTTTCAATCCTCTCTTATAATTGACTTTGGTATAAGACTGGGGATCTTGACTTCAAAATGGAAATTGCCCACTTTTGGCCCTTGTATTATCTTCATTGTTCTATCTCTTGTTTGCCTTAGTCATTTTAGTTATTTTCAATTTGAATTTTTTCTATTTGAATAACAATATTTTAGTTTATGTTTACATACTGTTGATCTGAGATATTGAGTAGAACCTTTCCTCGTGTCGATCTAAGTCGATGTGATATGTATAGCATGCAGGAAATGTATTTGAAATAATCGAAGTGAGTAAAAATAAAATGGTCCTCTATATTCATTGCCGTTTGGAAATAAAATAATAGTAAAAAAAGTCGTGCTTACATAGAAGGTCAAAATAAAATTATTTAAACATGAAAAAATATATGTATATTGAAATAACAAAAGAGGTCTGTTGAACTGATTTAATTGAAATAGAATTTAAATTTATAATACTTGGCAAATAAAATAACTTTCCAAAATTTCCAAAAAAATAAAAATGAACAATGTTCTTACACAAATAAAGGCAAAATGATAAAAATATGTCGATGATAGCATGCATTGAACTTGCGGTAAAGAAGTCTCACTTGCCATGGTGTGCCTGAGAAAAGATGTGGTTCTTATAGCCAAGGAAATGATTTCTCCAAGGAATGTTGAGGAGGAGATCTTGACAAAAATGTAAACCTTGCTGGGTTGATCTTGTGTACGTAGCAGGATTCGTTTGAGCATTGGGCTTAGAGAAGCAGCTTAAGTGGGGAGAACTCATTTAAAAATTGTACTGCTTTAAAGGTCTGCTTGTATTGGTTAAGCAACAACAAATACATAGCTTCAGTCTTATTTTTAAAAATAAAAGTGCTTATTTTAAAGTAAACATAATTTGTTTCTGGTTTTATAACATTAAGTAACTAACAAAAAATATTAATAATTACAAATCTAAAATATTGTTGCTTTAACATTACATATTTAGCAACATTAGGTATTTAACAACCGAAAACTTATTGCATGGCTTCAACTGTTATTGAAATAAATTCTTAATGGTCATTTTACCTGAAACCCTGATTATTTTACATATACATTTGTGTTGGCCGGTATAAAATATACATTACGAAACAAAAGCTCAGAAACTTTAACATTATGTTTTGAGTTTTAGAAAAATGCAATTTTACTATTAGTTTTGATGAACTGAATATTGTATATAATTTTTCTTTATTTTATTTATTTATTATTATAATACATATTTTGCTTATTTTTAGGTGAAGTCATATCTACTAAAAGAGAAGATATTGAGCTTATCAATCTATACTTTAATATACAAGTGAATAATCCAGTTACCGTTTTAAATCAAGACACCGCAAGAACTTTTATTAAGAGTGCTACTCCAAAAGATCTTTATGCAATTTTTGTAAAAGGTACTCATCTTGAAGAAATTGAACAGAGGCACTTATCTTTGAGGAATGAGAAACTGCCATTTCTTGAGGATATTATTTCCAAAAAAAATAATGTTAGTGGATTATTTTATATATAATTACTGTAATATATTTATACATTAATAACTTGCTGTAAATTAAATATATTTTTGTTAAACTTCAAATTAACAAGTGTCATACTGTGGTTAGTCGTTCGATTTGGAAGGTTTTTTAAATTATTATATTTTTTGCATACATTTAACACTAATTGTTACCCATTAAAATTTGTTGAAATACCTCAAAGTTAATAAGAATATTGTTATATCAATAAAGCCATATTATTAACATAATTATATATATACATACATTTAATAAATATATTGTTAATTTTTATTTGTTGATGTCATTGTTAATATACATGATATCTATGTTTATAATGCATTATTCTTGTTTTAGGAACTTATTGAAGATTTCAAAGATGTCAAGGAATATAAGGAAAAGTTGAAGAAGATGGATGAACTACACAAAATTGAATTGAAAGCAAAAACGTTACAAGATGAATTATATTGGGCTTATGTAAGTATAATAAATATTGAAACTGTTAACAAAGGTATAGGATATGTTACAATTACTTAATGTCTTGTTTTAATCTTGCTTGATTACTTCTCACATTGTCTTTATCTATCTTTTAAATATTTTTGTGTACTCTTCCTAACTGTTTATTGGTCATCCCTCAAATATAATGTTTATTGTTTTGATTCTCATAATAGGTATTGAAATTTGAAAAGAAGTTAGAAGCTCAAAAAGTAATTGAAGTGGATTGTCTTAAGCAACTTCCGCTAATAAAAGAAAAAGTTCAAAAAAGGGATAAAATTGAAAACGATTTGGCTGAAAAACAAAGGTACATTTCATTCTGTTCTGTTTAGTTATTTTTTCCACTTTATTTGTTTAAATTATATATATTATTAGTACTGTTGAATAGTAATTATGGTAAATGATATTCACTATAAGAAAGTGTAATTTCGATTAATAGCATCATACTCCAACAATTATTAAGACGATTTTGTTTTGTTTTATTTTCAAGTTAGGTATTAGTTTTGTATTTTTTATTAAACAGTCTTCAATACAAGACAAATAGGAGTGAAAAATCATAAGTTAGAAAATAATATATGCTCATATGTATGTCCTTTAGGAACTATGATTCTTAAATTCAAACCGTTCACAATTGGACCACTTTCATTCTTTTATTAATGAATTGGTTACATTAGTGAGGGAGTGAATTAGTTAAACTAAAGCTATGGCCAAGTTCTTGCTCATTATACGCTCAAAGAGCTCTTACTGAACTCATTTATTTATTTATTTTTAATATATAGTTGATGATGTTTTTAAAACGATATAAAAAAAAAAATTATCAAAGTTTTTTATCATGTTTAAATATTAATATATTATTTCTTTGTTTTATACTGTATTCATTTTCAGGGCTTCAGAGTTATTGTTAAATGAAACTAAAGAGAAGAAACGTATTATTGAAAATAAAATCATAGAAGTTGAAGGATCATTGAACAGCATGAAGGATCAAATTGGGAAAAAAGTCAGTGAAATTAAACACATCAATAAAAAACTTATTTCAGAATCAAAAAGTTGTGATGAAATCAAAACTGAAATTGATAACCATAAAAGGTTTGTCATAATATTTGTTTTTTATTTCATAGCAGCAGTTTCCACTTTTATATTATCAAGTACCTCTAAAAAAAATTGTCTTTTCTATTAAATGATGCTTATTTTTTAAAATACTGATAACTGTAATTAACAAAGTAATAACAAGGTTCAACTCATCATCTTTTATTTTCACTTATTTTATAATTTTGTATTATTTTATGTGGTTTCAAAATATTTTGTTACATTACTTTCTTGATTCCATATAACTCCCAATTTTTCATATTTTGTTATTTTTCATTATTTTTAAAAACTAAAATATTAATGAGGAATGAATTTTGTTATTTTATAGTCACAGAACCTTATTATCTAATCTAAAAATTGTATAATATTCCAATTTTACAAAATATTAATTTAAGGAAATATTGTTTGCTTGTTCATCGTTATTTTTATAATATCGTCAGTTAAATACAAAAAGTTACTAAGTATATTTTCGATGGATGCGAGTTTATAAGATGATTTTTATGAATTTCGATCTTATTCATCAATAAAAAAAAAAAACAGCAACGGCGCAAAAATGATATAATCTATTTTATTTATCCAATATAGTTACAAGTGCAGAATTTTCTGATTTCATAAAGTGAAAATTATCAAAGTTCTTAATTATTTAAGCTTATGAAATGTTACTTAATGAATTTTTGCAGTAAACTAACAATATAGAAATTGTAATATGATTGAATTTGAAAGGAAAAGAAATTAAATAAAAAGAAAATTACTAATTATAGATAGCATCTGTTGTTAATATATTGTCTATGTATCTTAGCCGTTATGAAGAAGTAGAAGCCAAAAAGAGAAACCTAGAAGCACAAAGAATGGAACTTGAAAATAGGCTAAGTGAATTGAAAGCCGTCATGTCAACAACTGTCGTGCACAAACAGCAACTAAGTGATACTGTCGAAAAGGCATCTAGTACCGTTGTTCAAAAAGAACAATTTTACAAAAATTTAGGCCAAAAACTAAGTAAGTTGTACTGATAACATAATGAATTTATTTCAAGGTACCTAAAGTTAATTGAAGGTTAAAACAAGACAGTTTTTCTACTCTGCAATAATTTAATATTAATGTATTAATTAACAAAATTTTGGTATCGTCAATCTATCTTATTTTAATCTAAGAAATTGGCTATCCAAAAAAAATAACAATAAAACAATTTTAATTATAAAAACATGAATTTTATTATTTCATAAATTTGTTCTTTGAAATGGAGAACATTTGTTGTTATGAGACATAAGACATGAATTCAGTTCAGGGTTGTTCTTATTTACAAAGAATTGATGATTAAGAATCAAGCACAAGTTAAAAAAAATATTCATCTGTTTGTTGTCTTCATTGGTATTTAATTTTTGATATTCTTATGATTATTATAATTTTTTAAGAGTACAAAGAAGAATACTTAAAAGGGTTAAAGGTTGAAAAAAATCAACTTATAGTTTATTCTAAATGGATGCCAGAACTAGTCGCTAGTATTGAAAGAGCTCATCAGAATGGGCAGTTCAAGCAGAAGCCTCTCGGACCAATAGGTAACCTGATTATCTCTCGGTATAAATTTTATTAGTATCACTACAGCATCATTCATCAATGCTTACATTAATAATAATTAGTCTTAAATAAAAAATAGTTTTAATTTTTATTGTTTCTTTATTATTTGATTTTTTTTAAAACCTTATTTTTTTTTTTTTTTTTTTATTTAGGAGCCTACATTAAAGTAAAAGAGAAAAGTTGGGGACCAGCAATCGAAAGTATCATTGGTCAGAGAGTGCTTTCCTCCTTTTGTGTTGACAATAAAGATGATTTCAAAGTTGTCAAGTCAATAATGGATAGGCTCCAAATCCCAGCTAAACAGAAACCATCAATTTCAATCAGCAAGTTTTTCAATAAGGTTGGTGGCATATTTGTTGTGTTATTTTTCATATTTGTTTTATTTTATATATCCTACATCCTCTCTTGTTATTTTACCTTTATCCTTCAAAATTCTTTTTATGCTGAAGCTGTGTTACAAAGGAGTGAAGATGTTCATGTTGCTCTTGTTTGCAAAGTGATAGAAAAGCTTTATAGATACTTGTTAAGTTAGCATTTTATGTAAATAAACGGTCAAGCAATCATGATCTGCTGTTGTGCAGAAAAGAGCAGCATTGATGGATTCTTCCTGGATCTGGTTATACAGGATTAATGTGAGATTTATCTCCTTTTTTCCCATGAAATGTAAATTTAAACTCCTATCTTATCCAATAAGTCTGCCTTTATATTTTCTGCAATAACTACGTAGCTTTGTATCCACTGCATAGCTAATTGAAACAGTACATTTTGAAAGGTTATAGTATTACCACAGTCATTTGCAACCTCCATATGGACAACACAGCACACTGGATTATAGTCTTTTTGAAGGTGATAGAAAATATTTTTTAGACTACATGTAGTAAATAATATACTACGTATTAATAGTCTCGATAAGCTATGTTTTTTTGTATGAATCCTTCTGTCATCTAGTATTTTGAGGCAAATTTTACCTGAGAGTATGTTTATAATTACAAGGTCTGACCTGATCATTTCCTCACAATATAATAAAAGGAATGTTGGCGGTGTTCTCATAGAGTTTTGGCTTATGAAGAAGGTTATTAGTTGTTTGTTTAGTACAGGCCATTCGTGCAGGTAACTAATATCACCCTTCACCTCTAGATAAAGCTAAAGGCTCATGCCCACAGAACGCGTATGTCTCAGCAATCTCCAATCTCTTTATCTGTATTGCTGTGGAATATCTATATGACCAATAGTGGAATAAAATATGAAATAATTATATCACCAGATCGTTGCATACAACAGTATCGTTTCGCTTAGTATTAACATCAAAAAGAGTAAGTAATATTTTAACTTGACACTCTTTCATTTAGGTAAAATATTTTTTTATTAAATTTTGGTTTTAGGTTCATGATGTATCAAATTTCGAAACTGGATTTGATAATTATAATAATTTATTGAAGAGTATATCTGTCTCGCACCCTGTTATAGCTAATTCTCTCATTGATCAACTGGAGGTATGCTATATTATTTGTAATATTAAAATTTTCTTTTATTAATTGTATTTTTGGTGAGTTGGAAATCTAAGAATGGTTCAGGGATTTTGTATGGTAAGGAAAAAGCAGTTTTTCATAGAAATTCTGCAAAAATTGTCATGAGTTCTCAACTATATTATGTTCCTTCAATTTCAACTATAGGATAGATAATAGTGGATTGATGGTTGACTGCAGTGAATAATCGAAGAGAAGTTGGTTGGGGTGTTCAGTAAAAAAAAAAATTAAAGATAATAAATGATATTTATTTTTATATTTGCTGACATTCCAACCCAAAGTTCTGGCCTTCATCAGGGCTAAGAAATGACCAGATAAAAATATGAGAAACTATTAACTTAAAAAAATACATATATGGTGCAGCGGCAGGCCACCCTTAGATCCATAGCCGATCCCTTTGGGACCAATCTGTCAGTGTCCTTCCCACCAACTCACTCCTGTTCAAGGACGGTGACAAATCGTTCTAGATCCATGGATTATGGCTGCTCGGAGTCAGCAGGCGCACGAGGACCTATATTTCTTTCCCCGAAACAGACCGTCCATGGACCGAACCTCAGGGGGGCTACTTACATCCTGGCAGACCACATCCCGATTCCCGATTAAGTACACGAGATAGGGTCATCAGTCCTACGTCCGGTCGGTGTGAGTTGCCTCCAGTAGGCTGACGGGTCTCACTCTGATGGGATATATACACACACATACATATATATATATATATATATATATATATATATATATATATATGAGTAAATCAAAAATAATTTTAATAATGTAACGAACTTATGAAAAAAAAAATTAATAGCAATAATAATTTGTAAAACAGAAAAGGAATATGAAGTTATATAAAGGAAATAATAGATTTAAATAGAAAAATTAAGATACTGTAAAATCTATCAAAACATTATATTTTTTTATTAAAGAATAAATTATTTACTGTATTAAATAATGAATACAACAAGTAAATATGAACAAGTAACATGACATGTACAACATGAAGAGAAACTGCCCATTGGTAGCACTCAAATTATATTTCTATATTAGAAGGTATCGAGGCCATCTTCTTTTCAGACGCCTCGGAGGGTCATCAGGAATAGAAGAGGAAGCAAGGTTGGAAATGAGAGGGTTCAGATGGTTCAGAAGATTATTATGAAAGGACAGGTTTCTGGATTGAACTAAATCAGAAACAAATGGTACATTAAGGTCATTATGGATGATTTTATTTGTGACAAAGTAGGGAACATTGAGAATTTTGGATTGTAGGGATTGGATACGAGAGGAATCTATCAAAACATAGACTACATAGAAGAGAAATAAAAAGTTAAAATTATATAAATTATTAAAATAAGATGTAATGAGTAAATGTATGAATATAGACAAAATAGGCGCAGGGATATGGAAAAGATAAGTGAGGAGAATACTGAAATAAAAGAAGACCAACCTGGACTCATGAGAGGTTCAGTAAACTAAGAGAGTACCAGTCAAGCAGGAACAGATAAATATGTACTGCTTACCCCTTCTATAAGGCAACGTAATAAGTAATCTTAGTCATAACTAAATTTTTTATATATTTATATATATATATATTTCAGTTCTATTTGTAATAATTTTTATTGTTGGTGTATTGGTTTTGGTTTATTGTTTTCAATGACAAAAGTTTCTCCAATTGTGTAGGGATCTGGTCATATTTCAAATTATGTTTTTAGCCTGAAACAGTTCTGCTGATACCAACGAGTGATGAAGCTTATCGACTTATGGAGGACCAAGCACACGTGCCACATTACTGCAAGCGGGCTATCACTAAGAAAGGTGACCTTTTCTTCCCTGCTCCAAATTATCGTTCATATAGCGGTAGTGTTGCTGAAACCACTAAGTACCTTCAAGTTAGTCCTGCACAGGCTATTAAGTATGAACTTTTTTTTTTATTGATTTAATTTAGAAAGAATTTATAAATCTTAAAATTCTTTCTCAATAAAATGAATGCAATGAAGTATTGATGCAAAAATAATATAAGTTTTTAATATTCATTGAACATATGCCATGTCTTCACTTCAACTATATATATTTAATCAAAATAATTTCCATCAGGACTGATACACTTTTGCCAACCTTTAACAAGATTTTTTTTATCTTATCTTTTTATCATAACTCTTGACAAATTTCTACTTTCCAAGAGCTAAAGGATTCATATATTTGGAAATGAATAGAAATTGTGATTATGAAGTGTTGTTATTATTTTATTTTTATAAAATTTTATGACTGAAGAGATTCTGTAATCCTGTAATTACATCTGAATGTACAAATTTCAAAGTTTATAACAATTGTACGAAGTCGAAGTCTCTGTATAATTAACTCAATGCTGTATCAATTAAACTGAGTATTGTCTTTAATAAAAATAATTCATGTTTTGTTGAATTCCTTCTTACTTATTCAATTAATTTTGTTTTTCCTGCACTTTATCTTCTGTTTTCAGATTAACAGAAACAGAAATCCACTCCATTAAACAAGAACTTATTGAAGTTAGAAATGGATTAGAAGGTGCTAAACAAAATTTTTCTCACGCTAAGCAACAGCTAGAAGAATCACAAGCTGAGGTACTGCTTTAATTTTGTATATAAAATGGTGGCTAATTTTTCAATTCGGTAAAATGTGTTTCAAAAGACGGCCATTACTAAGATCAATTTTTTTTTAGTTATTTGGTAATGATTACTTCCAATTAGCAACAATTGGATATATTTGTTGTATTATCAAAATTGCATGTTTACAAGTTTACGTTTCGGGATATTTACTCCCATCTTCAGAACCACAATCCCAATGATCTTGTGGGTACAAGGCTTAAAAATAATGTGCTCCATCGTCAGTTTCTAATTCATGTTATAATAATGTAACATCTAGAGCAACATCTTGCTTTTAGACTAATTATTCGGTGCAGACACCATTGTGTGTGTATGTGTAGATATTTGAAGAGCCTACCTCAAAAACCAAAATTCGTATGAAACTGAAATTGCATATTTGAGGTTTTTATAAGCGCGGGATATTATAGCAACATTTTGTCAAAATTTGCAAACCGGAAGTGGTACTTATATCATCAATTTAACACATTTTTAGAATTTCTCAAAAACGGCTGTGGCGATTTTAATTAAATTCATTATATCAATGTATTATTAAGTAGTTTTTAATATAATGTAAGTTTTATTCTCATTGATGTTCTCTAACAGGACTTAAATGGCTTATTTTCAATATAAGTTTCCTATAAAGTACTATTAATTTTTTTTATTTGAATAATTAATCTTTGATATAAAAAATATACTGAAGGAGAAATAAGAGATCGTAACGGATAATAGTTGTAATAGAAAACCAAAAGGAATACGAGCTAACCCGAACAATTAAAACAGGGTACCATACGTAACATGAGCATAAAAAATATAATACAGACGCCGACAACATTATGTACATATATATGCGGTTTTCATGAATGCTATTGTTGGTATTATTTAATATTTAATTTTATAGATTACAGCGATGTAAAAATTAAAATTTGTATATATAAGGATAATTAAACAAACCCACAGTGAAATGTAAATAAATATAGGGTCTATAATTTTTATTTTCACTTTCCCTTTATCAGAAAATACTCATTTCTGCTAATAAGAGGGTGGTAAGTGAAAGTCGTGTAATGGGCGCACTAGGTTTTCCTATATAATTTATAGTGTTAAACATAAAACTTACATTAGCAACTAAATTTTGTTTGTTTTGTATAAAAATATAAACAGTTTTAACTCTTTTTATTTTCATGCTCATCTGTATCCCTTTTCAGGCTTCAAAACTGAATCGACAGATAGCTAATTGTGAAAATAGACTGGATGAACTTCGAAAAATGGATATCCCAGAAAGTTTTGATGTCAATCTCCTAAAAGAAGATTTAGTATACAGGCAAAACACTATTAAAACTTGTGAAGGAAATTTAAAGGTATATTATAAATTTATTTAATAGTGATATGTTGAATTACTTTTAAAATGTGAGAGTTTAAATTCCAATAAATAGAACAGAAGTACATGTTAAACTGTCTTGGAGTGATATACCAAAAAATATTTAAAATTTTTGTCTTTGATTCCTTATACCCTTTGTGATGTTAAGTATAGTAAATGAACAATGAAAACATAAATAAAAAGAAAATTATTTTGGCACCCTTACATAATTCTGTTTATAATTTTTCTCTAGGCATTAGAAGCAGATAAGGAAAATTTGATAGCAAAATACAAAGAAATTAAACAGAACATTGAAGAATTGCAGCGAGAGAAAGAGGAGAGATTCAATGAGATAAAAAACTTAGAAGTATGTATTATTTAAGATAAGTATAAGTATCAAATAAATATTTAGACTTGAAGTTTGTCTAACGAGTAGATAACCTAAACTTGGATCTTGTATTTACTTATGTAAGCTGATTTACAGTTATACATAGATATTAAAAATGACTTTTAGACTTAAAAAAGCTTAAATAATTGAATCATAAAGTAATTAAAAAGTGAACTAAGCCCTAAAACATAACTTTTTAGCAGACACTAAAAACTAATCTATTGTTTTCTTTTTGAAGATGGAGGATACAAAGTAACCTCTTGCCTCTAAAAATAATAATTTTTTAAGATAAATTAATAGTCAATAGTACAGACCCCTTTTTATCGAATTATTAACATCCTCCTGGAACTTCGTAAATAGTTTCATCTCGTAGTAACCTACAACTATTTTATTTATGAAACATCTTGGAATTGGAGCGTTTTCAATCTGGAGAGGGGCAAACTTTGTCTATTTAATTAGGTAATAAATATTCGTAAACACCCATTTGCTTTTTAGTTGGATCGTAAGATAATTTGATCATAAATCAATAAAAAAGGTGGCCTTAAAAAATATTGAGCCATTTGGAGTGACCTACACTCCCAAATTGTCAAAATAACAAGGTTATATAGGACAAATGGCCCAATATTTTTGTAGGCTACCTTTTTTATCGATTTTATGATCGCATTATCTTACAATCCGAGTTGAAAGCAAAGGGGTATTTATGAGTTTTTAGTACCTATCAAATAGACAAAGTTTGTCCCTCTCCAGATAGAAAATGCACCAATTCCAAGAGTTTTCGTAAATAGTTGTAGTTTACGATAAGATGAAACTATTTACGAAGTTTCTGGTGGATGATAATAATTCTATAAAAAGGGGTCTGTACCACGGACTATAACATCAGTTCGTAGAACAAAATATAAAATTGTGACGCTATGTAAACCATTGTGGCCGTTCTATTTTTATGAGAAATAAGATATCGTAATGGATAATGGTTGAAATGGAGGAATACGAGCATACCTGAGCTCGCCCGAAAGATTATAGCTGGCTTCCATACATAACATGAGCTTAATATCATATGGATTCCGTCAACATTATGTACATATACATTTGCGGTTTTCATGAAGGCTATCGTTAAATATTAGTCAATTGTATAAATTACTGCGATATAAAATTTGTATATGTAAGAATAATTAAACAAATATAAATACCCACAATGAAATGTAAATAAGTATAATATCTATAATTTTTTCTTCCTCTTTCCCTTTGTCTGAAAATATTTATTTCTGCTAAGAGGGTGGTAAGTGAAAGTTGTGTGATGGGCGCAACAAATTTTTTTTTAAATATAAAACTTAATCCAAGCTAAGAAGATCTAACTGCTCCATTTTTTTTTTTTAATGGTTTATTATAACAAATTATACTTATAAGTATCTCAGCCTCAAATTCTTCTTCTAATGTTTTATACAAAATAATTGCTATGTACAAAATATGCAAAATAGTATGCTAATGCATACTCACTAACTTCTCATTGATTTTCTAGATTACACTTCTAATTAGGTTTGTTTTAGTAATGTTAACTTCAATTTATCAATTTTTAAAACAGTTAAAAATTATTTTGTTTTCTTTTCAACAATTCTTAGGAAGAAATAAAAGAAATCAAGAATGAATATTGCCAAATTACAGCGAATAGAGACCATTATAAAAATATATTAAAAAATGAAGAATCCAAGTTGGAAAGTGTCCGAAAAGTATTAAAAGAGTTAGAAAAGGAATATTCGAAAGCAGAAAGTGAAGCAAAAGAAGCTAATCCAGAACCACTTACTGAGACAAGGTTTGTCAAAGGATCAGTTTGTATTTATGTTGTATTTGCATTTAAATTATAATACTTATTAACTACATTATTTTTATACAGATACTGTTGGTAAATGGCAAATCATGACTGAGCATATTTCTGCCTAAAATTTTTTTCATGTATCTTAAACTGTGAAGAACATTTGAAAACTTTGTATCTTGCATCTATTAAGTAAATATAACTTTTCAAATTATTGATTATTTTCAGAGATATTGAATTCTTAGAAGGAGAACTTGCTAAATTGAATGGCGTAATGAAATCAATGGAGAAAATTATTGGAAGTACCGAGGACATACCAGCTGCTTATGAAGAAAGACTGAAACTGTTTAGTAATAGTATTGCAGAATTAAATCAGATCGAAGAAGTGAAGCAGGTTGGTGATATTCTGTAAATCTTTTCTTTAAAATATCATATTATTTTAATAAGGCCTCTTGAAGCAAAGGTGTTTAAGTAACAAAATCTTAATTTTTTGATTAAACAATGGTTAAAGTTAAACCTCTCTTGTAATTGCCATGGTTTTTCTACACAAGTGGACTTCGGTTTTTCTATAAATCTTTCAGTATTTCTAAAGCCACTGTGACAGTCAAAATGGATTTTTAACATATTTAAAGTTTTAAAATACTTTTAGAATTATGATTGCCAATTCTACCCTTTTATAACGGCTAGTATATTCATAATTGTGAAAAATAACTAGTTCATTGGATTTCTTTAATATTTAGGTTCAATTTTGGTTTATCGAAGAAGCTTTGTATGAAAATATTATCGATTTTTAGACAGAGCCATCTGCTGTTGATTTATGGTAACTTTCAAGATCAACAAATATTTTAGTGTAAACAGAATATCCATCTGAAGACAAATATTATCTTAACCATACCTATTAAATGTTTGAATAGAATGCAGTCCTTAGGATAACTGAAATTTAGTCTGTGTATATTTTTTTAATGTATAACTACGATTTTATATATATGTATGTGTTTGTGTGTAAAAAAAAATCTATACCACTAGAATCCAAAGATGGTCTCGGTTTCAGTAAATTATATGAGAGTACTGTTTCTAGTACCAAGTTCTGCAGTGAGGGGATTTCAACCAAGATTGTTTTCAACCCTATTAATTGAAGGCTGATGTAAAAAAAAAAAAATTATCTACTACAGCCAGTCTCGAACTCCTCAGGTCTGGGAGAATAGAAGCATAGTGCCTTATTTCTTGAACCACCCCACTTATAACATGTGTATCATTAGAATAATAAAAACATGAAAATTTAACTGAATTTATTTCACTTATGGATTTTATCCTGTTTACAGAAGTTATTCAGTAGTGTAAGTATATTAATTGATACTTACCAAAGAATAAAAGAATTAGTTTCTGCCAATACAAAACATTCCTTTCATAGAATGTTACAGAAAAAAAATTATAAGGTATGTAAACGAAGCCTATTATATATTATTTAGTTACTTTATGTTTTTAAGTAAAGGATTCATTATTAGCAAGCAAATTTATTTAATTATAATAGTAATGCTTTTAATCTTCTTTAAAGGGAGATTTAATCATCGATCATAGTAAAAAAACACTGAGCGTAAAAATCAAGGTTGATTCAGCAGCTAAAGATGGTTCGACAACAACCCTGTCTGGAGGAGAGAGATCATATTCAATGGTTTCTTTTATCATGTCTTTATGGAGCAACATGTATTCGCCCTTCTTTTTTTTAGATGAATTTGATGTTTTTATGGTAATTATAATTTATTTGATTTGATAATTTAGAGATACCCCTTCAATGAATATGGAATTAAAGAAAGGAATTAGTCGTAGCATTAATTTTGAAACCACTTTATTAACTTGCATGGGTCTCATAGGACCCATGTCACACAATGATTATTTTGTATTATCTATTATTTACATTGTTTGAATTAATACACTGATTTTTTTCCAGGATGAAATAAATAGGAACATGATATTAAATATGCTTGTTAACTATGCTAAAAGTAAATCTGATCAGCAATTTGTTTTCCTTACACCCCATGGCAATCTATCCCATGATCTCTTAAAAGATGTATATTTTTTCAGGTAAATATTTTGTTTTGTTAATATTTATTATCGAAATTACATACATGCACATTTATAAATTATATGTATAGTCCAAAATAGTAATATCATACCTTTGTCATTGTCCTCTTTACTTTTAACAACATCTCGTTATTTTAAATTTCTCACATATTTTTTATGAAACCTTAGTGGTATTTAGCAGTACATATGTGCATAAATTTTCAAGAAAACTTCTCTGATGACAGACAAAGTACAATCCATGTCATAATGATTATTGAGGACATCTTAACAGACAGAAAATTTGGATGTATCGTTTTAATAGCATATAAATTTGTTATTTTCATTATTTTTCTGCATATCAATTAAAACAAGAACTAATTTATATCATTTTAGCTAAAATGTAAAATAATTTCATTGTAATCTATAGATGACTTTCAGTAACACATTTTTTATGGAATAGTTTAGTCAGCATTTTATTTTATGTATGTAATTCTTCTTCTTTGAACTTCCCTCAATTGGTCTGGTCTGGAATTTAAAGAATAAACTCGATGGTCTTCTGAGAACCCCCAGACCACCGTTAGAGTTTCATCACCAAGTCAGTGGTGTTTGGCCAAATTTGCTTCCAGCTGAGGGCATGTCTGAAGAATATGCTCTGCATTTTGGTCTCCCGTTCTACAATTAGAGAAGACTTTCTCCAATTTTAAATTTCTCATAAAAGCGTGCTCTCATCCTCTAGCGACCCATTCTGAGTCTAAAGAGCAAAACTTGCTCTTTCCTGCTCATTTTACAATATGGTTATATGTGAATTTTTTTTTATCATATTTATTATTGTATTGTGAAATTAACATTATGATTTTAATTGCAGAATGGAAGATCCAAGAAAACATATCATTTCTAATGGTTGAAATATTTATTATTGTATTGCTGCTGAAATAACTTGCCATGAGTATGTAAGTGGTAATTAAATTCCAATACCTCTTCATTAATCCATTGCTTTAAACCCTTGATGCCAGACATATACCTTTAGTCTGAAATATAACTTTACCTGAGTTTCAAGCAAGTAAAGTATTCTGTGAGATGTATATTGAGAAAAAGTTAACATAGACAACAGCAGTTTTTGTTACTCAGTTTGTAGAAGTGGATAGCATGAATCGATGAACAGATATGCACAATTCAAATTATATATGGTGATGCATTTATAACTTGTATTGTGCAGTCCCAGAACCTTTGCATTAAATGTTTCTTGATTTACTGCCCCTTTAAGTGTTATTACTGTTAATTTAATTTTTTTAAAGAAATATGTAATTAATTTATTTATTTGTACATAAATTTCACACATGTTAGAAATGTCTCTAGGTTAATCTTAATATAGACCAATGCTAAATTTTTACCTAAAAACCAGTTCTTAGTTTAGATAAATAATTATTTTAAAAACTTTACTATTAAAAATATATATATATATATTTGTTGCTATAAAATAAACTCCTTTCCTAAAAACTGTATATCTTGTAATTTTGTTGAGTAAGTAATATAAGTGAATGTTCATATTTTTTGTAATTTTATTTTTTAATTAAACCAAGATTATAGTTCATAACTTCATTATTAATTTCCCCCCCTTTTTTTTTTTTTTTCTTTTTTTTTGCTCCGACATTGTTTTGCACCGCAGCCTCAAAAAGGCCTATTGTGCATCGCCCTAAACTCAGTTTAAACAGGCCAGATGCATTCGCGAACCTATAGATAATGATGGGATCAATCAGTTCGCAGTGCTTGGGGTCAGTGATGCGGTGACATCCAAAGTGAAAGTATCACAGTCTAGCCAGATTATCACATTTACAGTTGAGGTTTCATTTACACTCAAATTGAAAAGGTGCTTATTTAATTGACAGTGACCAGTATACAGTCCTGTCACCCGCTTAATGGTATTCCTGTCCATTAAAAGAAGTGAATAGCTTCTTTTATGGCAGGGCTCTACAAGGAATAGTTTAGAATGGACCTGTTTCCTAGTCTGTGCCCAGTGTAGCTTAAATTTATTGCCCACAATTGTCTTAATATATCTTTTGGCAAATCTAACGCTTATCCCATTTTTATTTTCACTTAGTCTTTTTTACACTTGAGTGTAGTATTGATGACATTTACAAACATAACAAATTAATCTTTTCAAGGGGTGAAATAACTCCACTGTTTTTTTACTATAAATTACAGATTGATTGACTGAACAAATCAAGAATAAAATGAAAACTAGAAAAAAATAAAAAAAGATCAATATTAGAAAATAATGCTAGAAATTTTATATATAATTTTCTCCTGTTGCATTTATCCTGACTTGATTCAGTATAGCATTGGCCTATGGTAATGAATTTAAATTCCTATTAGTTGTTTTTATACATTTCATTAGAAAAAACATTAGTTCTTGCAACTATAAATAAAGAAAATGCAAAAAAATATACAAAATGTTGTTTATTACTAGCTTGATTTGGCGAGGTTCCTACTTTTTCATATTCATGACGGACACACTAGGCGATCCTTGACCTGCTCAATTACTCTATCCCAGTCCTGTCACTCTGTAGCTAATCTTCAAAGACATTTTTAACTTTGGGAGGTCTTCTGAGATGTCCTTCCATCTACTTTTGGCTTCCTTCAAGCCTGTGGGAGTGTACTCCTTCCAGATAACCCTGATATAACCTTTTGATGATCTCCTATCATCCATTCCATGGAGGTGACCCAACCACTTCAGACACTGTATTCTGCCATATTCCGACTTCATATCGCCATATAAGGAGTATAATTCTCTCTCTATTCTTTATAAGCTAATATACTCCCTTTTCCTCTCATACACTCTAAAATGCGCCTTAATGTTTTCATTCAAAAATGTCGACCTTCAAAGCCACTGATTTTTTAAGTGGCCTCCTCTCACATGCATATGTTGCAACTGGTTTTCTAATTAGTGTCTTATATAGCCTTACCTTGGTTGAGCGGTTTACCAATCTACTTCTAATGAGATGAGCTATCAAGAAAAAAAGCTTTATTAGCTGAGAAAATGCATGCCTGGATCTCCTCCTTGTCTTCTGATGCTACATTAAACTGTTCCCAAAGTACTTAAAATTATCTACACATTTGAATGTGTAGTTGCCAACTATAACACATCTGGGAGCGCCTGGGTTCCTTTCCTATCAAAACCATAATCTTGGTCTTTTCTTCATTAATCTTCAGGCCAAATCTACTGGTCTCCCTTTCCAGCTTCTCAAAAGCATCTTTGACATTAAAGAGATCTTACAGCTATCACTAAATCATCGTCATATGCTAATATTGGGTCCCTTTATGAAATATATTGTCATTCTCATCCAGATGGGCTCTTTCTACTATAGTTTGTACTACGATAATGAAAAGCAGCGATGCTAGAGAATCACCTTGCCTGAGTCCAATGTTTACCTGAAATAGCTTATCATTAACTTTAACCTTGCTGTTTGTACACATTACCAGTCTGATGATTTTTAAAGAAATATTCATCTCTTTCATTGCCTGGAATAATTCATCTCTCAAAACTGAATCATAAGCTACCTTATATTATAATTAATGAATAGTAGCTACATAGTGTTTAGGAATTCATTCATTTTCTCACACATTAGTCGCAGGGAGAATATTTGATTGATAGTAGATCTATTGGTCCTAAAACCTCCTTCATAATCTCCTAGCTTGCACTCCATATATGGGTGGCAGTAGAGGGCTATAGAGAAAATTCTGTATGTGTTTAGATTTATTCCGCAAGGTCCCTAACTGGTATAAATTTAATCTTAAGAAAAAGAGTTTACAAATTTTACATGCTAACACATATTTTCATTCTTAGTAAAATTTATCGTTTCTTTCTAATTTTTTATATGGCAGTTTAAACATAGTCACAAACAAAATGAATAAGAATGAAATTCAAAACTGTCAAGTTAATTTTTTTTTTTTCAAAAATACATGTAATCTGATAGGATCCACCTATAATCCACTCTCCTGGACCTACCATATTTCTCACATTTCCCGTCGGACAATTTCTACCCTTAAACTATTTCATCGCTTCCGCCATCTCCTACCTCAACATATCCGTAGACTCCTAATTTCCTCTCTCATCTTCCCCCACTTTGACTACAGCTGTGTGGTGTACGATGGCCTCTCGGTGGAGCTCCGTGATAGACTGAAAAGATTAATGAATAGCTGCGTAAGATTTGTTATTGGTGCCCCGAGGTACTCCCATGTCTCTCCCCACTACACTGAGTTAAGGTGGCTTTTCCCCTCCTTCCGAAGACAATATTTACCAAATCATCAAACCAAATTCGTCCTTCTTACGCCTACAACCTTCTCCAGTTCAAATCCTCAGTCCATTCCCTGTCCATAAGATCTCGACCTTCTGACCTTTAGATGCCTTCTCACAGATCTGCCTCATTCCAAAATTCCTTTATTGTTCGCTCTATCAATTTCTGGAATTCCCTCCCTATCAAAATTCGACATTCCCCCTCCATATCCACATTCAAATCCCTCCTATTCCAATTCCTATCACAAAAACAGTCAGATACTTGCTAACCATTCGAGCGGATTTTAATAGAGAATTTGATACATTTTTATTTTTTAATTCTTTATTTTTTTCGGAAAAGTGTATACTGGTCTATAAGAGCAAATAGCTTTAAGTGTCTTGTCATAGTATTAATGGTTTTGTATATAGTTTAGTTTGTTTTGTATATAGAATTTTTACCTTATATTTTTTTTACATTATTTCTTTTTTTCGATTGATTTTATTTTGGCCAGATGTAATATTTTAATTTTGTTCTATTTTGTTATTCTCGAGGGACTATGTCCCAGAATAAAGTTATTTTTCTATTTCTATTTCTATAATCTCATTTTAGCTAAAACTATTAGTTACAAGCTTATCAAACCAAAGCAGAGATAAATATTGTTCTAACATAAAAGGATAGGAGTGAGGTAAAAGAAATTAATGCATTTGATTAAAAATCCACTTTATGTAACAATCTAATGTCTAAGACTAGTAAAAATCGGGGACAACAACAGTTATGGCTGTTATTTATTTAATACTTTATATAATTACATATTTACAGAATTACAAAAGAATTTAGATTACTAAGATATAATAAATTTACTTCTTCTGTAGGCAGGTAATTTAGTATGTTTTTTCCCTCTCAGAGCAACAACATATGGAAGCAGTGAAGGAGTCCTTACATGGACACCCCTTGCTTCAGGAGTCCAAAATCCCAGTTTTACCATTTCTTCTTGGTCTGGGGTCAAGGAAACCCAACCTATAAAAATAATTATATGCAACATTAATGATAAAATGTAGGCAAATAGTAGCTCTCATTTCTCTGTTAAAAAAAAAAAGTCTTGCTTAAGTTTTAAAAACCGATATCCTTTAATTTTTAACAAAATTTATCAATACCATTATACCATTTTCATTATCCCCTGCCTTGGCAATACTGGCACAAGGGGAGGAGAGTTCTGGAGGTACAAACAAACCTCTTCTGACCAGAGTGAGGTCAAGATTCGTCCCACCATAAAATAAGTTTCAACCTGCTCAGGCCAGCTTCACCAGACTCGAGGAATAATAAAACAAGCAACACTTTAACACGCTCAGCCATCATGATCTCTATCAATAATATAAAGTGAAACATGCTTTTAAGAAAGAATACTTTTATATACCTTTTCATACAATTATGCGTGAACAAGATTTTTATAATTCAGAAGTGATTGTCAGTTGACTTTGATGGTACTTAGTAATATGCCAGAGATTAGCTTGAATCAAAATTAAAGTTAAAGAAAAATCCAGGTGTTCTGGTGGTAAATAATAGTTAAAAGAACAACATATTTATTTTTAGATTTTTAAACTTCTGATCCTGATAAATCATTATTTAAAGCTAATCTTTATAATGATAAGTACTCACTTGAATCTAATAATATCAATATTGGCCTATTTTCACATAGACAAAGCAAATGAATTATATTTTCATTAAAAATAAGAAACATCCCATACTTTCCAAAACTCCTTCCTCATGATGTCACGAGTGAACAACGATTTGGTTATGAATCACTTATATTAAAGGATATCATGAGATGACAAAATAGGCTAATAATTTGGTAAATATAATTAAATTAAAAACAAGATAAGTTTATGTATATTACTTTTACTTGGCAGACCCCACGTTTAGGTATATTAAATATGGTTCAAAAAGAGATCTTCAGAAATATAGTTTTAATAAAAGTGTGCAAGGAGCGAGGCAGCTCAGTAGATAAGCACTGACTTCCAAAACTGAAGGTTCCCTCCATGGGTTGTAGTGGTACAAGTTAAAGTGCCCTTCTATCTAATTCTTATGGAATTATATATGTACATCAACCAATAAATACTACTTTTATAATATAACCGATCTTACCAACAGAAGAAAGAGTGACATCAGCACAAGATTCATTTCTATCAATTCCAGCAAATGTCACTTCCAGGGCTTTCTCTAATCCAGGCCACACTTTTAACCTTTCTGGAGGCCCCCTTGGAACAATTGTGAAGCCAGTGCCCAACAATTTTTGATAAACTTCATCTGCTTCTTTTATGTTTGTAATTGTAATTGGTAAGGAAATGGATGAAAACACAGTCAATCTATAAAAAAAAAAAAAAAAAAAAAATTACAAAAAATACATTTATTTAATTGTGTATTAGGTATTTAATTACAGAAAAAATGGTCTAGTATACTTATTTTGTTTGACAATGAGTTTTAGTCATAAGCTACTCTTTAAATAAATAATGAATATTTTAATTTCAAAAATACATAACCAAATCATACAGAAACAGTTTGCTTAACCACGGCCATTTTGTAGCAAAAGAACAGATGGCAATGAAATTTATACAAAAAAACTCCTGAATTTGATTGCAACGTTATATCAAAATTTCAAAGCAATCAGTGGAGAACTTTTGAAAATTCAAGGCTTTGACAAACTAACATCTATATTTTTATTTATAGACACTGTTGTCAAATTTTTTTTATTGAAAAAACTAAAACTCATTAATAGCTACTAAACAAAAAAGAAAACTGATTGAGAACCATGGGAGAAAAAGGTACTGAATAATTTTTTCTTTGCCTATTTATATAATCATTTTCATTATTTTTCAACTAAATGTGATATATTTAGAGCAATATTTTAAATTAATTTGGGAGCTACAACAAATTTTTACAGTAGGAACAATAGATGAATAGCTGCAACAATACAGAATAATTTTTCTATTCATTAATTAAGGAGGAAATCAGATAACAGCATTTGATTCTTTTTAATAGCAACAGTCATTCTGTTACTGCCACAAAACAATGTGTTTTTTCTCTCTCATCAGTCACAACAAATATCCTACAGAGATTGTGCAAAATAATTTAGGGACAAAATATAACTTAATTACCTTATACTTTTGTTTCCTTCCAAGTAATCTATTCTAGCTAATCCAGCAATAAATATGCTCCATCCCTGTTTTATCGAATATGTCCTTGGTTCAATTATCTTTTTTGGAAGAGTCAGGGTAACTTCTTCAGTAGTCAACAAGTCTAAAATCTAGAATTGTTCCAAATATTGATAAAAATAAAAATCAATTAAAACTAGGAAACAAAAATAATCTATAAATTATGATGACAAATTTCATTTCAAATGAAATTTATGATGATTCAAAAATTGTATTTTATTTAATGAAGGAACTAATGTCTAAATTACTGGAGAACAAAGATTTTTTAGAAAAAGAGACAATATAATAGTTGGAAGTTTAAAGTGTTTTTGGTGATAAATCTATAATCTATGTAGAATACATATGTTACATATACTTGTGTAGTCCGTGGTATAGACCCCTTTTTATCAAATCACTTACATCTGCCTAAAACTTTGTGAATGGCTTCATCTTATCGTAACCTACAAATTTTTTATCTGCAAAAAAATGGTCGATGGTTAGCCGATAGATTAGTGAAAGTAAAAAGTTATGGCTTATATTTTTATATCAAATAAATAATTATTTAAAAATATATTAAATATGTCTACAAATTAAAAAAAATTTCTTTATAAGAAGCATAAACGCCATATTAGTTCCTCTTATAGGTATTTCAAGATGGTGGTTGGCTTTAAGATCATCCAGAGCACACTGCTCTTAAATTTCCGAAAATACACGAATGTTTCCATAAAAAGACGGAGCCAAGCGATCCCTAACTCAAAAAGTAAACAATTTTTGGTGAATTAAACCTTCGAGTATTTGAAAGCTTCCTATATTCTCTATAAAATGAAAAGAATTTTTTTTTCAATTTGTAGCCAATAACTCTAAAAGTATACTAATGTTAATGCAACGTTTTTTATTTGTAAGTACCTATAAAAGTGAATGTAAGAATATACAAGAGTAGAAAAAAGATGTTGGAAACATGCAAATTCATTCATGTTTTCCTTAAATGTTCAATAATGATTATCGCTTCAATTTCGATCACTTGGCAAATACCAATAAATAAAAAAGAGAAAACAAATATTGTTTATTTAGGAATTTGTTTCCCTACTAAATATTCTTCACCATCGATAAAATGATTTTATATGGCAAAAAAGAGGCCGTTTTCTCATTAAATTAATTGATTTAATTAGGTAATAAAAACTCATAAATACCCATTTGCTTTCCACTTGAATCATAAGATGAATTGATCACAAAATAGGAAAAAAAGGTAGCCTACAAAAATATTTGACCTATTTAACCTCGTTAATTTGACATGTTTGGGGAAGAGATTATGTCAAATGGCCAAATTAAACAATCTTTAAGTGGAATGAAGTGAACTTCCAAATTGAAGTGGAAAGTAAATGGGTGTTCATGAATTTTAAATAATACCTAATAAATAGACAAAGTTTGCCGAACTCCATACTGAAAACGCCCTAATGCCGAGAATTTTCATAAAAAAGTTGTAGTTTAGGATGAGATCAAACTATTCATGAAATTTTAGGCAGATAATTTAATAATTTGATAAAGACAATCTGTACCACGGACTAGTGTTGCTAGAAGACAAGGTAGGAAGAAATTAAAACAAAATAAAAAATAGATATTTCTTTGTTAACACAAGCTTTGGCAGCTGGTTTCATGTTTTTTAATTTTATTTATATTTAAAATGTCATGCAGAGACCCTAATATATTATTAGGAATATTAAAAATGGTTTCTGCTGTTACAATTAGAGATTCACATTCCAATTTATTTTTTATTAATTTTTTTTTCTTTTATGATTAAACTAAATTATGTATATTAAAGAAATTTACACACACACATTAAAAAGTTGTAGGGTAGTTGATTATTTTTTATAAGTAGTGAGTTATACATATTAACTACAGTACTTGATGTTAATTGCATAACATTACCTGCCCCTTATGTAAAACTCCTGGTGTATCATAAACCCACTTTGTTTTAGCAAAATCTGGATCATTTGGGTTCAAACCAAGCCTCTGCGGCACGCCTGAGATGTCAAAGTTATCTTTACCTTCTAACTGTTTCTTTTCAGGTAACTTAAAAAAGCTTCTTCCAATATGTCCTGGAACAATGAACAATTAAACATTGGACAGAAGGTAAACACAATAACATTAAAAATGAATAGAAATTCACAATATAATATCTAACTATTAATTAAATATTATCTAATATATTATGTGCCTTATCTGCTCTAAATAGAGGTGAAAAATTATTTTTACAAGGCTCTCCCTAGAGGAGCCCAAAATACAACTAAGGTAAATAAATTCAATACATAATCTATGCTGCTTACATACAAATAATAATATAACACAAACAAATTATTGTATTTTTAGGGATGATTTATAAAAATAAAAATTATGACAATTATTTTTTTAAAAAATTAGATGATAAAAAGATGAGATATGGGTAAGATTAGCAAATCTGACATGATATTATAAGTTATAAAAATATATGCATGAAAATATATAAACACAAATAACAAAAATGTTTTTTGTTTCTAGTCTGAAGATGGGATAGTAAAGTGATCCCGAAACGTCATAAAAATAAAGAAATTTTTTTTGGGAGAGTAAAACTGTTACTTAATTTTATTCATATACCTTATTTTTAATCATTTTTGTGATAAATGAAGAGGATGGCTCAACCAAATAACATGACATTCAAAACTGTGACTATCATTTTATTAATTCACGAAAGTACTGTTACAAAATATAATTTTATAAACATGAATCTAGAACTCAGAGAAATAAAGAGAGATGAAAAACTTATTTACAATAAGGAAATTAAAAATAAAATGTAGAGTTATTTTTTGTTTGTTGAAAAGTAGTATTAAAAAAAAAGGTATTCACATTTGTTACTTAAACCTAGTGGTGACAATATGATTTAATACATTATATTTTTTAAAATGACAATTCAAAGTACATAATCCGCTCATGAACTAATTCAAGTATTACCTACTCTCACTTAGGGATTGAATTAGTGATTCATGAAAAAGAGTGGAAACTCATTTAATTGTATCTCTTGTGCTGAGAGGTCATTGTGAATGAATGTATCTTTTTAAAGAATCAATCCCCACCAATATTACCTCATCACACCTGGACTAAACCATGAAAAGCGTCAACATGCAGTGAATCTATTGATTCCTTATAAGAGCTCCCGATCTCTAACATACTACAGTTGTAATTAAAATATATTATTATATTTAAAAAATAATAATTAGTACATTACCAACTAATTGCGGTGGAGTTTTATCTCTTATTTTAAAAACTTGCTTTTGTTCTTGACTGAGTTTTCTCTCAGCTTTTAACATCATTCTATCTTTTTTGAGCCTCAGCGTTCTAAGATAGAGTTTCCATCCTTCTGGTCTCAAAATTGGGAACTATAAGCATTTTAAGATTAAAATTTAACAAACTTGCCCCTCACATTCCTATTAGGCTCACTATTATTTATATTATATTTAGGCTCATTATTATTATTTTATTCTTATCATTTTGTAACAACTATACATTTTTTCATAGTTAAGGCAATAATACTTCCAATTTCCTTCAAATCCCTTTAATCACATTTATTATCTCTAACGTTTCGGGACAATTTTCCCATCATCAGAGCAATCCTTATCTTCACTTACTTTTTTGATGTGGCACCATTTGTCAAAAATTTGTCACATTCATTTTATATTTTTTTGATGTTACACATTCTTTCTTATTCATTGTTACACTAAACAACATCTGGCTATCTTCAGTTTCATTATTGTCAAAGGTTAGAGATAATAATTGTGATTAAAGGGATTTGAAGAAAATTGGAAGTATTATTGAATTAACTATAAAAAATTTATTAACATAGGCTTCCTAAAAAAACAAAACAAGAATATAACTAAACATTTCTTAAATTAAACTAGCCATCTCTAACTAACAATCTATTTTTTTTAAATGCTCCCTGAAGAAAATATCGATTAGGACAAAAGTGATGTACTATTTCATTTGGCTTTTTTCTAACTATATATATTATGATGTTACACCGGCCAAAACCACTAAAGAAGAACACAAGCTTAGTAATCGGTTGTATGAATATCTCTTTGGGATGAATAACAATAGGTAGAACACACATTTAAGGAAAAGACAGTCTAAGACAGGCATTCAGGAAGTGAAGCATTGACTGAAGAAAAGAAACTTTATACTGTGTAGTGGTAGATGAGGAGAAAAGAATATGATTATGATGAAAATTGAATTTCACAATTATATTCAAATACAAACGAATATACTGAACAGGACGTGAAAATAACTTTTACTGAAATAACCATAGCAGCACTTCAATAATTGTTCAAAATAAGGTCACAGGTATATATCTTAAGTAATAAAGAAGTAAAATATAAAAATTAGAAATAATCAAATCTATCATGGAGGAAAAAGTATCTATTTTAAGCTGTTTACAATATTTAACTTCTTTACGCATACATAATTTTTTTTAAACTAAATATAAAACCTTTTCCAAAATAAAATAAATGTAATAATAATTACAAATAAAATAAATTAATTCATTTCATGAAGTTAACATTTAACAACGATGAACGGAACGGATGGAGCATTTTTGAGGACGGAATACTTTTCATCATGTCAACTGACCACTTACACTTTTTTTTTAAAGCATTGTTCATGATCTCCAATCATTGGAAAATTATCTACCGCTCCATGGGAAGACTGCAAAATAATTTGAAAGTATAATTCATCTCTGAGCACCCTGTTGTTTAATGAGGAGTCCGAGAGACTCTCGACTCATATGAGTCTTCCATCGGCTGGTCCTGATTTCGTCTCAACACATATAAGAGTCCACAGTCATTAAAAGGTTAAGCCCACAATAGACAGCCCGTTTAAAATAAGCAAAGATATTAGTGGAGAATTTCGTTTCTTATATTATAATTATATTTATAGTAATTATTTAAGCATAAGATTTACAATTGGTTATAATTTTAACCTGATATTAAAGTCATTATCAAATCCTAGGCATGAATATTGTTTGTAAAGATAAGCAGGTTAATATTAAAATACAAAACATGATGCAAGAATAATTTTTTTTTTAATGTTAAAAAAATAAATAAATAGAATGTAAATTGTGAATAATTATATTTGTAACCTTTAGAAGATTTAATGTAGTTCCCGGCCAAGGTGCGGTAGTGGCCCGCTGAATGAGATCAACTGCTTTTACTTTACAATAATCTGATTGCAATAAAGCATTAAAAAGGGTCGATTTTCCAACATTTGTACAACCTACCAGGTAGACATCACCTAAAAGAGAGAGAAAAAAATAGTTTCCATTAAACAAATTTTGTTTAAAGTACTTGATACACATAAAGCTTAAAGTAACAAACTGTAATAAATTCTATTGCCTACCTTTATATTGCCAGATATTATGTAATTTATTAATGAGTTCTTCGATACCATAGCCTGTCTTTGCTGATACAAGACTGCAATATTTTACAGCAGCAGGTCTAGGGAGCGTAGAGCGTAAACTGCATAAAGCATGCTCCATCCACCCCCTCCTGTCTCCCCAAAGTAAGTCGACCTTATTTCCGACAAGAAACAAGGGTCGTTTATAACCTGAACCACATATATACATTCCAATAAATAAAATAATCTATAATATGTTTTCTTTGAACACCAAATAATACAATAAACACCATTTTTTTTAGTTTTTGTAATATTGAAAATGTCAGAACATATCATCGGTTCATTGCAAAACGTCATTCAATGACATTTTATAACCTTAAATGGCTAAGAACTTAGATGAATTTTCCAATTGTGAAATAAGAACATGGTGCACTTCTTGCAACTACATTTGCTGAATAAAAAGGGTTTGTCATTTTGGTACACTTACTGTTTTTTTCGATAAATAAGGTCAAATTCACCTAAACGTTAAAAGTTTAAACATATTATGTTTATAACGCTATCAAAAATGTACTTAATGACTTTTTGAAATAAACTGACAATATCAAATATTTTTAAAATAGATTTATGTATATAAATATACATTTCTTTTTTTTTTTTTTTTTGTCATAGCTAAAATTGGTGAAATTGGAGACTTTTAATTTCGATAAAATATTTTTTTTTTAATATAATAAAATAACTTCAATATTAAATGTACGTAAAATAGATCAGTTAATGTTAAAATTTAGATAAATGAAATGATGAATATTATGAATAAGTGACATGTTCTTTAAAATAGGAGATTTGTTAATTCATATTTAGAAAATCAGCTCAATATTAAAATGCCCAACCCTAAGAGATTTATCAAGATAAATTTCTATGTTTATAAATATTAGTAATTTTATAGATATTTTAATAAAAAAGGCAGGATTGATTTGGAAAAATATTGTATTATTTTTTTAAGTTACATTTGGTACATTGAAAATATTAAAAATTATATATTTATGTCAAATATATTTTTTTCATCTCAGTAGTATAACACATTCAGATGGCATATTAACATACAGTGTGTACAACCGTATTCTGATTTTTAATGTTTTTGTATATAAATCAATTTTTTACATTAAAATCCTTCTATTTCTTCGTTTTTTCAGATGTGTATGTTGTTAGGATATTTCTTTAAAGACCATCCTGTTACAGCTACATAGGTTATTTCTGATTTACATGTACGAAGATTGTATTGTTTAAATATGTCTGTAGTAATTTTTTTTTTTCAGAAATTGAAGTGCTTCTGATTTTCAGGTTGTAGGGCTTGTTGATATCCTAGTAAAAACAGTTTTTAAAAGTGTTCTATACTGTGCAATGTGATTTTAAACTTATTAATTGTAAAAGTTTTGCTTGAAGATTGATCTCACCTGCAGAAGATTTCAAAATGTAAGATTCAAGATTGCTAAAAGTAAGATATAAAATTTTACAAATGATTTATTTTCAGTTACTGATGTATTAAAAGCACTGACAGCCAACACTAATAAGAAGACTATCAAGAGAATCTTGATAAAAACAACAACAAAACTAAAACAAATATGCTGATAGGAAAAACAAGTTTTCTTTATTTACAAAACTATATTTTATACATCAATTAACACTAAACTTACCAATGATATCCAATATTCCTGGCCAGACGCTGCATGGCAGATCTGTCATATCAGCTATGAGAAGAACAAGTGACTTAGTGTCCTGATGAATAAAAAAAAATAATTGAGCTAATTTTCACAAGAGGAGGAACAGACTAAGAATTTTTATAAAGTATACATTGAATAAAATTTTAAATAAAGAATGATACTGATAACCTTACAATAAACAATCTAAAAATTTAATATATTTTTAACCTGTATTTTAGATAGTAATTTTGGATATACATCTTGATCAACTGTAACTGAGAGAGCAGTGTTGTAGCTTTTCAAAAAATGGCACCTCTGACAAATTATTTCTCGAAGATCTACTTCATCACAGTTGGAAAAAATTTCACTCGGCAGATATCCAGGAATACTGTAGTCCTAGAATATAAATAAACAATTCAGCAACAACTAATTAATTAAGCATTCGTAATCACTCTCGATATATTGGAAACACCTAAGTATTATATTGCATTCTAGTAGTATTAGATTATATAGAAAAACTACAATTACGCTGAAAAATAAATCAAAGAAAATTGTCATGTGGGGGTTTACTTTTTTAAAAAAATAATCTCACCTTTACACCATATACCAGCTTAGTGCCGTCCTAACATCACATGCTCACATAATTGAGCTGTACAAGCAAAAGTAGTTCTCTGAGTGTTTGTTTACCATTTCAGTGAAAATAATCAAGTGCTCCTTCTGGGATCATTAACTGATCCCATTATGATTCTCTTATTTATACAATATAAACCTGCAACCTGTATCACTACAACCCATGAAGGTTCATGCATTCAGTACTTTTTAGGAAGTACTGTTTCTTAGTCAACGGTTGCAAGGAGGTGATTTAACTGAGATCATCCTCAGCTGCCAAGTTTTCCTCCTTAATTAATTATATAATTAAGGATATCCACTTTACAGAGGCTGGGTGTGCACGAGGAGGATCTCCTGATCCCAGAGTGGTCCCAAGGCGGATGAAACAAATTAAATAATTTTTCTGCCATGAACCAGGATTTAAACTCAGGATTTTAAGCATTGAAAGATCACATTACTCTACCCCTGAGCTACCCCACTCCCGATTAATACAATATACTTAACTTATATATATCCAACCGTTATATAAGTTGGTCTATTTCCAACCGTTGGTGATTATTTTTTAAGGCGGCAAAAGATCTACAAGGTCTGTAATGCCAACAGAGATAAAAACTACACATATATATATATATATATATATATATATATATATATATATATATATTATTGGGTATACAAGCAACTTTATAGCCAATAACAAAATATTTAATTTGATTATATTCCTTGAAAAATGTACCTGACAGTGAAGGAGAGCACCACATCCTCCACAAGGTACTTGGCTGACAGGCATTTTTGGATCAGGTGTTCCATATTTCCTTCTCCATTCTTCAATTTCAGTTCCATCACAATCTTCCTCATGGTCTACCGTATATTTCTCATAATCATTCATCCATTTTGTAGTGGAACTGGAAGGTACTGAAAAATTCCATTTTATTGTTCAAAACAACATAAATAGCAATATCAGAATCAAATATAATTAATTTGGTAACTAACAATCAACAATGATATCATCAGTAGAATCTGATAAGTTTTCGCTGTGGCTTTTCTGGTCATCATTGGATGTAAAAACATTTTCATCTACAGCTCTGACAGTATAAGGCAAATTAACGAGATATTTGTTTTCAATAATTTTAAACTCTTCTTGGGATGGTTCAGATTTATCATTCTCAAGTATATATTTTAAAGAAACTGGAACTGACAGTTTTACATCATTTTTGGCGTATTTTCTAATTATCTTCTCTTCTTTCTTCCGTTCAAGAAAGCCTTTATTATTTAAAATAGAATTGTAAATTATCTTATTCACAACATCATTTTCTTGATCCAAGTCATTTGGCTCTTTTGCAGAGGTATGACACCAACACTTATTAGATAAAAACCCATTTTTGAGTATGACACAATTATCAGAAATAAATTGATTTCTTTTTATGTTTAAATGACGGCTGGTAGTGGTGAAATGACTAGGGGAATTAAAAGCAGTAAGTAGGTTTTTTAACATTTTATAAAGGAAAAGGCATTTGTGATTTCAACAATCAATGTCATTCTTCAAATATCACAGAAATTACAAGCAAAACCAATAATACACACAAACCCATGCCAAACAAATGCCGGGAATGAAATCTGGATACAGGTTTTAATAGTTGTACAAAGAGCCTATTGTCTTTCTCTTATCAGTGAGCAGAACAAACTAATGGTAAAATTCAATTTCAACTTACCCTATGCCAGTTATTGTTTCTAACAATGTTCAATATTTCGTAAATATTACGGTTGATTATGGCATATTTTTATTCAAATCGCCGTATGAAAAGTAGTTTTCCAACTATCACGATTGATATATTTAATTTGCGAGAACAATAAACCTGTTGTTGTTAGATTTATCAGTGAAACTACATTCATTGTGTTTTAATATTCAATTAAATTTAAGAGTGGATTATATTGAAGTGATATTTAAATATATCCGAAGTTTTTAAAGATTTGGACTTGGCAATAATGCATTTCTCTTCTGATGCCGACAATTATGATTCTGGAGAATTTCGTCGCCAGACGGAGGAGATTAGCCGCAGCCGCTTACTCCAGATTTAACACTAAAAAATCGAATGACTTAAAAATAAATATAATATGCCGACGCATCAAAGAATCAAGGTGCATTTATTCAACCTGCAACAAATGGGGCAAGTCCATAAACTCAGCGCTAAGCCAATCGATGGTATCGTTTAGCCCAGGATTCGATGTCATCTATGAACTCAGCGCTGAGTTTGGGAACATTCCCTATATAACCACTGAAAAAAAGTAACATTCCGAAGCCTCCTCCGATTTATTTTCAAGATGTGGTGGAGTACTCATTATTTTTTCCATCCCTTCAAAGAACTATATCTCAAGAGTATTAGTTAAAGTCCACATCTAGAGGAATGTTGTATCCTTTAAACAGTGCAAAATACTATAGACAGGAAGTGGTTAAAATATTTCAGCGAAATAGTGCATACTTTAACACTTTCCTTTTTGCTTACGATAAATAATCTCAGGATCGTCAACAAGGGTCTTTACCACTCTAAACATTTCTAAATTATAATAAATCTAGTGCGCGCAACACAAAACTTTCACTTACCACTCTACTTTGAATAGAAATTATTTTCTGGCAATGTTGGGCTATTATACAATTTTTGAAGTCCATTTTAAACGGAGCTAAAGTTTAAAGCTTACAGATAAAAAATCATCAAGAACATTAAAATTACAAAAAGTGTATTTATGATATCGACGGTAGGCAATAAAAATCTAGTTTTATAAATCATATAACTTCACTCTCTGAGCCTTTCAGCTGACAGAATAACTAATTCCAGTTTCAACATTTTTGAGTAATGTCATTTTAGTGATAATTCTAGTTGGAAAAGCTATATCTATACAGACAGTGAGTAAGTTGATTCCAGAGTAGGTGATTCCGGTGTTGAAATATAGAACTGCGAATACAGGTATAGATTTTAACACTAAAACATCACTAAAATTAATAATAAAGAATGTTGACATTGGAGTTAGTCATTCTGTCATCCGAAAGGCTCATATATGCCTGAAGAGATTTGAAAGTACATATGAATATTTAGTCTATAAATGATTATGGATTGTAGGACTATTTGTTATTAAACTGTTATTTTCCATTGTAAAATTTACTAAAATGAAATTACCAGATTTTCATTGCCTGCCATGGATAGATCAAAAGCTGCCACCTAATTGTAAGTGGATAATGTTGGGATTTCACATTAAACTTTCCCTAAAATTCATCAAATGATTCAAAAATTTAGTTTTCTAAAAGGTTACATTTTAAATAAACGGCCGATAAATGCCTAATAATTTAAATATAGCATCATATCTAGAGTTATTAAACTACAGCAAATGTATTTAAGGTTATAAACATATCCATGAAATATTTTTACATTTCACTTCTTCTTTCACACAAGTACAAATAAATAGTACATCAAGCAATGGAATCGGCATGATTCGGTGGATTTTAAATTTTTTTTCTTTCAAACTTAGAAATAAATTCATAAGTTTGCATTTAGTGGGAAAATTTCATTTCATTTCATTGGAAACATGTGATTTACGTTAAATAATGTTAGTTTTCTGTAATTATTATTTATATTTTTATCGTCACTCTCCGTTACCTTCAAAAAATGTATTTATTATATATTATTTTTTCAAAAATTCTTCGCTTTCCAACGATATATCATACGTGTACCTTCTGACTATTATTTCCGGAGATCCATTTTCAACCTGGATAAGCATTTTTCTTTTTTTCTCCAGTTTCCAATTACCATATTTTTCAAACTTCATATTTAGCCATTTTTTATAGTTACTATCAATAAAAGAGAGTTATTTTTTTTTCAAATAAACCAAATTAAAGGTACTTTGTAGGAAGACGTATACGAACAATGGGCATTTAAGTCCTGTAAAGTGATAAAAATGGGGATAAGACCTAAATGATATTAATAAAGACCACTTAATTATACAATGATACACCGAGTTTAATCAAAATCGTTAGAGCCGTTTTTGAGAAAATTGTAAAAATCTGTTTCACCGTTGATATAAAGTGGCACTTCCGGTTACCCGATTTTATGGAAAACATTACTGTAACATCTGAGAAAAAACCTTAAATATGCAATTTCACTTTCTTAATACTTTTCGTTTTTGAGCTGGACTGCTAACACACACACAGACATATATATATACACACACGCACAGACTATTTTGCGAGACTTGGTTATTTGGACTGAGGAGTACTCAAAACATGTATTTACGTTAAAAATTCAGATTAAAAAATTTTCACGATCGCAATACTTACCCTTTCTGTATATTTCATATATAGGTAATAGGTGAAAGTAAAAAATAATTGTTGGGGAAAGGCTATGAAGTCACCAGCATAATCAAGGTAATCTCACAGTTGGACCGAAAACCTTTACGTCTATTTATGTGGACATCCCAAAGGGGTTAAACTACGAAAAAAAAAAGACAAAATCTTTAGGTGCTTATATAAATCAGGAGGAGTCTAAGATAAGGATGTCATTCCCATCATATTGTGGACGAACCTCTTGAAAAAAGAAATTTCACAGCCCTGTTGGACATTCAGGAGCAAACTCATTTTGATGCGGATTCATAGTACCACCAGCTGATTATGGCCGATCCAAGTTAACTAATTTTTTTAACAATCTTAGCAACCTTATCCAACATTTCAAGAGGCTTATAAGTCAATTGGACTAGTAAACTAAGTTCTGGTGCTCACCATATATTTCTAACTGTTGGTTGCCTATCAATCATGCTTCGGAATATCATCTCACTTCTTCCAATGAAGACCGAACTTGAAAGACGACTACATCAAAAATGCATGAACTTAGCCTTATTAACGAAACACAAATCCGAGACAACTCAGGCAGCAAACCTCATGAAGGGGCTGCTATAGCGATGAAATCTATATTAAAAGATTTTCTAATTTATTTACTACACTTTAAAGATAAACAAAGTACTGGAATACATTTAGAGAGCAAACACAAAAACTATAACCACAATGTATGGTCTATTATAATCTTCTTCCATTCCCTTCTGACTGGCTACATACATTGTACGGGCCTTCATATCATGGAATACCCAGTGGATGGAAAATTAAATAAATAAGTAGACGTACTTAATTGAATACAAACCCTACCTGGTAGCCACTTAGAACAACTATTTAGTGAGCGATATTCTAGTTAATGATTGAATAATTCTAATGGTACGTTTAACTAATAGTAAAGATTAAAAAACAGAGATGAGCTAAATCGGAATAAGTGATTACATGATCAAAACTGAAAATAAAACAGAATGACCACGCCAATTTTATACTTGATATAAGTGTACTATAAATATAGCAAAAATGTGACACAATTATCTGATTACAATCGTTCTTGGAAACCTGTTTACAATTGTAATCGTATAATCACGTAACCAAAATCACTGTAATCGTAATAGTATGCTAATGCCTATCTATATTTAAAAATAATTCTCAAAACTTATACTGGGAGTTTTAGTAAAATTCAGTCACATGTCCATTTTTTTAATATGAATGTCAAACGTCATACTGAGCTGAAATAATAAAATTAATCTGTTTCTATGCCTCATTAGTTGGGAATTTTGTGCATTTTGTAAGGTATAGGTTAGCCCTTTTTTTAGTTTAATGGTAGATTTATTCATGATTTCTAAGATGAAAGCATGTGACAAAATGCCTATATTAATTTCAGTGGATAATGTCACATGAATCGTTAGTGAATACCAAGTTTTGTGTACCTTAGAATTAAATTAAATGATAATTTCAACCTGCTTATGCCAAAAAACATAAAAATTGTCAGTGTTTTAACGTAAGTAATGTTCTAAAATTATTAATATTACTTAGTTACACCTAATGTAATATATAGCTCTTTTAATCTATAGCAATCTAAGATGATCATATTGTATATCCACCGGCAATTATCGTAAAAGAAACATTAAAGTGGATTGATTAGTTTAAATAAAGTTTGCAGTTGATTAGTAATGATGTTTATTAATCTATAGAAAGAGTAAGTAAATAACCAAACGAAAGAATTTATGAAAACAATAATTTTCGATCTATTATAATCACCTCTAATTACATATACAGGTTAGTGCTTACTGAAATGAATATTAACTTAATACTGTATCCAGACATCAGCTCTTGGCATGTTAATATTGGTAGCTATAACCTTTGGCGTCCTTTAATAATTCTACGATGGATAAGTTTCTTGATTTGAGGCTCATTTTTCAAATTTATAACAAAAATTAAAAGAAAATAGTGAATTCTGATAAAGAGAAAAGAACTTTTTTTCAGAAGGCCAACATAAAAGAAAAGAACTTTTTTTTTGGAGCACGCTATTTTTAGCCTATAAATAAAAGCTTTGCTTGGGGATAATGGTGGGGTCTTCTTGTGATCTTAAACCCAGCGCTATTATCTGGAAATAGAACATA